GATCTAGCACGAAATCACTAGTAGATTCATTCTCTCCTCTGTAGCTCAAAACCACATTTTGTTTCGACACCAACAGTTGTCCCAACACGTGGTTAACAATGACCCCGGGACATTGAGGTTTTTACATTATTTCTATTTTCCTTTCACTTTCAATAACGTTTGATTCAATTTGAATTTGCTGCACAAACCAGGTTGAACATGGTGAATTCCATTAAGACCCTCTGTACTACTGACTCCCAGTACGCCATCCTAATCCTCCTGCTCTGTCCTACAGATACAGATATCCCTCCACCATGGATCTGATGGAGGACTACGATTACCATGACAACCTCACCCTGAACTACAGCTACGACAACTACCACACCGTATGTGAGAAGGCTGGCGTGCGCTCCTTCGCTGGCCTCTTCCTCCCTGTTGTGTACTCAGTCTGTGTGGCGGTTGGGCTAGCCGGGAACTCCCTGGTGCTATCCGTCTACGCCTACCATAAACGTCTAAGGAGAACCATGACGGACGCCTTCCTAGTCCACCTGGCCGTAGCCGACCTCCTCCTCCTCCTCACCCTGCCCTTCTGGGCTGCGGAAGCGGCGCGGGGCTGGGAGCTGGGCCTGCCTCTCTGTAAGCTGGTCTCTGCCTGCTACACCGTCAACTTCACCTGCTGCATGCTGCTGCTAGCCTGTGTTAGTCTGGACCGCTATCTGGCGTCAGTCAGAGCGGAGGGAAGGAACCAGGGAAGGCTGGGCAGGGTCTTCACCAGGGCCCACTGTGGGAAGGTCTGCCTGGGGGTGTGGGCTGTGGCTTTCCTCCTGGGTCTTCCAGACCTGCTGTTCTCCACGGTGAGGGAGACCTCCGGGAGAAGGGTCTGTTTGGCTGTCTACCCGCCCAGTCTGGCCCAGGAGGTCAAGGCCTGCCTAGAGATGGTGGAGGTGCTCTTGGGGTTCCTGGTGCCGCTCCTGGTGATGGCGTGGTGTTACTTCAACGTTGGGCGTGCGTTGGGGCGACTCCCAGTGGAGAGTAGGGGGAAGAAGCTGAGCGCTATCCGGGTGTTACTGGTCGTGGTGGGGGTGTTCGTGGTCACCCAGCTGCCCTACAATACGGTGAAGATGTGCCAGGCGATTGACTCTGTCTACACGCTGGTGACCCACTGCGGTGTGAGTAAGGCCCTGGACCGAGCGGCGCAGGTCACTGAGAGCCTGGCTCTGACCCACTGCTGTCTCAACCCACTACTCTATGCCTTCCTAGGGTCCTCCTTTAGAAAACATGTACTGAAAGCAGCCAAGGTGTTTGGAGATAGGACAAGGAGAAGGGAGGAGCAAGCTGTGGAGATGTCCTTCAACAACTCTCACGCCACCTCACAGGAGACTAGTACCTTCTCCATATGAGCGGGGGGGGGGGGAGGGGGGGAGAAAGTGCCTCACCTTGGTATCACTTAAGATTTGATCACATGTAGCAATTATATTCAGTATTGTTAAATATCTGCTGCTATGGAACTATTGAGTCTAACCAGGGGAAGCTAGCCTGGTCCCAATGTGCTGTCTTGCAAACTCCTATGTCCATGGCAACAGATGGAATCAGGCTAAGGAGAAGCATTCCAGTTATCAGAAAGTATAAATGCTATTAGATTCATGCTCTACGCATCTTGAAACCACATTGTGTTGACACCAACCCTTCTCCCCAGAAATGTGGTTGGCAATGACCCCAGTGATAGTGAGGTGTTTACAATCCTGCCTTTTTAGAACAAAACAGCAACATACCAGATGTTACAATGAAGTTAATTGCCGCACTTGTCAGTGAGGCTGCGCTTGTCAGTGGCGCCAGGGTACATTGTAATCTTATGATATAAGAAAATTGCTATTAGAAGTTGGATGATACTGCTCTTTTTGTGAAACATTTCAAATGTAAACAGCAATGAAGCATCTCAGATATTTTACAGTGAGTCTCTGCTCAAGAGAGGTTACTTGTGCCAATAGCAGTCCCCTGGGATGGGTGATGATTTAAATCTTATTTACTCATCCCTCTAAATTTCAGCAAAGACTTACCAAGACAGCACAATGTTCTCCACTCTGAAAACAGCTTTGTATTGGGGGGGGGGGGGGGGGGGGGGGGGGGGGGGTGCTATGTGGGAACTCCTTCAAGACTGTTGGAAAAGCATTCCAGGTGAAGCTGGTTGAGAGAATGCAAAGAGTGTGCAAAGCTGTCATCAAGGCAAAGGGTGGCTATTTGAAGAATCTCAAATCTAAAATATATTTTGATTTGTTTAACACTTTTTTCCATATGTGTCATTTCATAGTTTTGATGTCTTCACTATTATTCTACAATGTAGAAAATAGTAAAAATAAAGAAAAACCCCTTTGTTATGGCAAGCCTAAATAGGTTCAGGAGTAAAAATGTGCTTAACAAATCGCATAATAAGTTGCATGGACTTTAATAATAGTGCTTAATATGATCTTTGAATGACTACTCCTTCTCTGTACCCCACACATAGTCAACTACAAAGGCCAGGGAGGTTTTCCAATGCCTCGCAAAGAAGGGCACCGATTGGTAGATACATAAAGTAATAAAATGGCAGAAGCAGAATATCCCTTTGAGCATGGTGAAGTTGTTAATTACACTTTGGATGGTGTATCAACACACCCAGTCACTACAAAGATACAGGCGTCCTTCCTAACTCAGTTGCCAGAAAGGAAGGAAACTGCTCTGGGATTTTACCATTAGGGCAATTGTGATTTTAAAACAGAGTTTAATGTTAGTGACATGAGAAACCTAAGGATGGATCAATAATACTAACCTAATTGACAGAGTGAAAAGAAGGAAGCCTGTACAGAATAAAAATATTCCAAAACATGCATCCTGTTTGCAACAAGACACTTAAGTGATACTGCAAGAAAATGTGGCAAAGAAATGAACTTTTTGTCCTGAATACAAAGCGTTATGTTTGGGGCAAATCCAACACATCATATCTACAAGTACCACTCTTCATATTTTCAAGCATGGTGGTGGCTGCATCATGTTATGGGTATGCTTGTCATTGGCAAGGGAGTTTTTAGGATAAAAATAAATGGAATACAGCTATAAGCACAGGCAAAATCCTAGTTCAATCTGCTTTCCAACAGACACTGGGAGACAAATTCACCTTATACACTGGAGTTGCTTAGCAAGATGACAAATTTGCAAACATTTCTAAAAACATGTTTTCTCTTTGTCATTATGGGGTATTGTGTGTAGATGGGTGAAAAAATATATTTATTTAATCAATTTTGAATTCAGGCTGTAACAACAAAATGTGGAATAAGTCAAGGGGTATGAATACTTTCTGAAGGCACTGTAAATCTGGGAAATAACAAAAGCCTAAAATATTGGCAGTGTCACATTCTTTACGTAGCAAAACAAAACCAGTAACATCCATACTGAGTTGGGCCTCCAGTTCAATAAGAAACTAAGTACGAATTGAGTTTAGAAAGACATTTCACATTGCATGGTGGAGGAAGACATTGCGTCAATGAGCACAAGCATCTCCATAACCGGAAAGTCATTAACTGTGTCCGTTTCAGTACTGAACACTATTATCACACATTACTAATTGTAGTGTTAAATAGCAAACGTATCTAAAATAGAAACACTGGCATCAATGCAATTTGATTCAGTTGTGGAAAACACTTCAGTTGTCCAAAATGACAATGCAAAGATGCACCCAAAGAAGTGCAATGGAAGGCTGGTTAGCCAACAACAACCTTATAGGGTGCACTGCATAACATAGGGACTTCCACTCAGGCACTTAGCTAACTGTGTATCTTTTTCCATCTTTCTCTAGAATGTAGCAGAGTTTTCCTTCACCTGACCATCAAATATTATGGTCTGTACCCTTGATGTATTCCACTCATTTTAATGATAAACTTCCCTCACAGCCCCCATTTGAGCATTGCGACTCCTGGTTTTAACAGAAGGCACTCCATTTTGGTCTATGAAAATTCAGACCAATAATTGTCTCACAGCAGACCAAATCATCATCCTATGGCAGATGCATTCAGCTTCTACATTCTTCACAATTCACATTTGGACAGATAGAAATGGCTGGCAGAGCCATAGCTAGAGAGGACTGGTGGATGGGAATAAGAGGCCATAATAGCTGGCTGATATCTAGGGGCTGAGAACATGTCAGTGTTCAGGGTTGATACCAAAGAGATATTATTAGGAGTGCAACCATTGGCTTCAGAATAGGCAGTGCAGTATGAACTGAGAAGAACCTCTGCTAAGTTAGGGAAAAGTAAAGAAACACCCCGCTGATTGCACAAACATGACGCTCAATAATTGAGGATCTGGACGTCGAACAGATCACAGACTCCCTCATTGTCGTCCAGGTTTAAGTTGTAGTCCACCCCTGCATTGGGAGACGGCTGCAGGAGAGGGAACACTAACACAAAAGAAAGGAAAAAACTCAAATCTCACACTGTCAGACTTTCATATCGGGAGTCTTTGCAGACAATATTGAGAACAGCTAGATATGATCTTTAGACTCTCAGCTCTAATGTTTACTATGATATGATCTTTAGACTCTCAGCTCTAATACTTACCATCAGATCTTTAGACTCAGCTCTAATGCTTACCATCAGATCTTTAGACTCAGCTCTAATGCTTACCATCAGATCTTTAGACTCAACTCTAATGCTTACCATCATATGATCTTTAGACTCAGCTCTAAAGCTTACCATCATATGATCTTTAGACTCAGCTCTAATGCTTACCATCATATGATCTTTAGACTCAGCTCTAATGCTTACCATCATATGATCTTTAGACTCAGCTCTAATGCTTACCATCATATGATCTTTAGACTCAACTCTAATGCTTACCATCATATGATCTTTAGACTCAGCTCTAATGCTTACCATCATATGATCTTTAGACTCAGCTCTAATGCTTACCATCATATGATCTTTAGACTCAGCTCCAATGCTTACCATCATATGATCTTTAGACTCCCAGCTTTAATGCTTGCCATCAGATTACATCAGCTCATCTATTAGGTCAGCCACACCTAAAGGACACAGAAAACATCTCTCTGTAAGGACACCACACAGCCGTTTTACTACATGTACAGACCTCAGTCAACAAGCCCCCTCCCAAACCCAAGAGTTAACCTCCCTCCCACTTCCAGACCCCCACCCTCCAACACCTCCTTCATCTGGTCTCTGGAGTCGGTTAGTTTCAGCAGGCTGCCCACTTCCCCTCTCCCCTTCACCCTCCCTCCTCTCCTTCAGCAGGTCTCCTGTATTGAGCTTCAGCAGGCTTCCCACTTCACCTCCCTCCCTCACCCTCTTTCTCCTCCTTAATCCCCATTTCCAGCATGGACTGGAGCTCTTGGCCTGAGTGTCCTCCCAGAACCCCTTGCTGCTGCTGGACGCCTGTTGCAGTGCCAACCAACGATTGCTGCGTCGCCAGGCTGGTCGTCGCCTGGGGGTTGGCATTCTACAGGAGTGGAAGAGGGACAAAAATAGTCAACAGTAGCCTGAAAAATATGAGCATAGAGAAATGCTGCAGACTTCACAATGTTCCAATTCTGTCAACCACTCCCATTGATTTTAGATACAATAACAACGATCATCTTAACCCTCTTTTTAAAAAAGTCCCTTCATTCCTTAGATTCCTTCTGATTACTACAGGCTAAGATACCCTCACCATTCACTTGTAGAATATCACAGTCATCATTACAACTTCACAAATGACCGTGAACTCTGAGTGAATGGCCTAGTAGTCCTACTCAGGTATACGTCTGGTGGGTTGGAGGAGGGTGTCAGAGCCTCATTGTGCCTCTGCAGTGGCGCCATCCTGTGGTCAGAGATGTGGTGTGTCACAGGGCTGTAATGTGTAGACAGGGCTAGGCTACATGTTACAAGTGATGTGGTCATGTAGGCTAAATGCGTATGGTTCCACCCCACATTTAGAATTGCAAAAAGAACATTGTTTGCCTCCTGCTTATTTTTGTGCTTCTGCGATATCATTAGTTACAACAGACAGCGGTGTAGCTACATGTCAATCATGTCCTCCTAAATTAGACTATATAGAATTTTTGGGGGAATGCTCGTTCAAAATCGACGCAGGTTTTTTTTAATTCAGCTGTTCAGAAATATGAGGCAGACACAGTGCCTTCGGAAAGTTCAGACCCCTTGACTTTTTCCAAATTTTGTTACAATACAGCCTTATTCTAAAATGGATTAAATAAATAAAATCCTCAGCAATCTACACACAATACCCCATAATGACAAAGCAAAAACAGGTTTTTAGAAATTTTAGCAAATGTATAAAAACAAAAAAACTGATATCACATTTACATAAGTATTCAGAACCATTACTCAGTACTGATGAGGGGGAAAAAAACAATGTAATCAATATTAGAATAAGGCTGTAACTTAACAAAATGTGGAAAAAGTCAAGGGGTCTGAATACTCTCCGAATGCACTGTATATATAGGGATGAGGCAAAATAAATGACAAATAAGTCTGGCTATACAACCGATTGGCAAACATACTGCAAATTGAGAAATCATGTGACTAAACTGAATAAAAAGAAGACGAAACTACACTATGAAACAAAGATAAATGACAAAGAATGATAGTAAAAAGCTTTGGAGCACCATAAATGATATTTTGGGCAAAAAGGCAAACTCCGCTCCATCATTCATTGAATCAGATGGCTCATTCATCACAAAACGATATGCAATACTACATATCCTCCAAGATGTATGGTAAGATACATCCTCTAATTCATATGATATTGTAAGATTGCTATTCCATTCAAAATGTATCCTAATAATCCTACTAAATAAAGTTTCACAGATTTACTTACAGAATCATTCGAATTGCCCTGAGACCACGTTGTAGAGATGTGAGACAGGATATGTGTTTTACTTTTCTTTATGGTCCTCTATAGAACAACTTGTCAGATGGTGAATTAAAGACTGTGTTCCTGACCTGTCTTTTCATAATATCATTGCAGGTATGGTTATATTATCGAAGAATTACCACTTTATGATCTTTGTATTGAAAACTGTTTATTATTTTATTCTATACATTGTGGCTATATGTATAAATTGTATAAATGATTGTGGAGTTCGTGATTACACACACAGAGAGAGAGAGAACAACTTGTCAGATGTTACATTGAAGACTGATGTGTTCCTTTCATAATGTCATTGCAGATCTACATAAAATACCTAAAAGACAGCTGTGGTGTCACTCTTCATTTCTAGATGGTTATGTGGTACATGTAAAGACATCAACCAAGTTAGAGTTACAGCTGTGGTTGCACTGGTTGACAAGTTGCTACAGTAACAGTTGCACCCTTAACCACATATATGTTGGGGATCTGCCCGGCCTATTCAGAAGATTGGTTATTATCTAATTTCATTGCATCATTTTGAATTTCTATTTCCTTGTAGTCTTTTGTGGTGTTGTGTCATGGACTTTCTCTGTGCTATTTCTCTCATAGTGTTGCTCCTCTATGAAACAAAGAATGATAGTAAAAAGCTTTGGAGCACCATAAATGATATTTTGGGCAAAAAAGGCAAACTCCGCTCCATCATTCATTGAATCAGATGGCTCATTCATCACAAAACTCACTGATATTGCCAACTACTTTATTTTTTTTATTTGCAAGATTAGCAAACTTAGGCATGACAAGCCAGCAACAAATGCTGACACTACACATCCAAGTATATCTGACCAAATTATGAAAGACAAGCATTGTAATTTTGAATTCCGTAAAGTAGGTGTGGAAGAGGTGAAAAAAGTATTGTCTATCAACAATGACAAGCCACTGGGGTCTGACAACTTGGATGGAAAATTACTGAGGATAATAGCGGACGATATTGCCACTCCTATTTGCCATATCTTCAATTTAAGCCTACTAGAAAGTGTGTGCCCTCAGGCCTGGAAGGAAGCAAAATATATTCCCCTACCTAAGAATAGTAAAGCCCCCTTTACTGGCTCAAATAGCCGACCAATCCGCCTGTTACCAACCCTTAGTAAACTTTTGAGAAAATAAATATAGGGAAGGACATTCAACAAGCACAGCACTTACACAAATGACTGATGATTGGCTGAGAGAAATTGATGATAAAAAGATTGTGGGGGCTGTTTTGTTAGACTTCAGTGCGGCTTTTGACATTATCGATCATAGTCTGCTGCTGAAAAAACTTGTGTTATGGCTTTACACCCCCTGCTATATTGTGGATAAAGAGATACCTGTCTAACAGAACATTGAGGGTGTTCTTTAATGGAAGCCTCTCCAACATAATCCAGGCAGAATCGGGAATTCCCCAGGGCAGCTGTCTAGGCCTCTTACTTTTTTCAATCTTTACTAATGACATGCCACTGGCTTTGAGTAAACCCAGTGTGTCTATGTATGCAGATGACTCAACACTATACATGTCAGCTACCACAGCAACTGAAATGACTGCAACACTTAACAAAGAGCTGCAGTTAGTTTCAGAATGGGTGGCAAGGAATAAGTCAGTACTAAATATTTCAAAAACTAAAAGCATTGTATTTGGGACAAATCATTCACTAAACAGTAAACCTCAACTAAATCTTGTAATGAATAATGTGGAAATTGAGCAAATTGAGGAGACTAAACTGCTTGGAGTAACCCTGGATTGTAAACTGTCATGGTCAAAACATTGATACAACAGTAGCTAGGATGGGGAGAAGTCTGTCCATAATAAAGCGCTACTCTGCATTCTTAACAGCACTATCAACAAGGCAGGTCCTACAGGCCCTAGTTTTGTCGCACCTGGACTACTGTTCAGTCATGTGGTCAGGTGCCACAAAGAGGGATTTAGGAAAATTGCAATTGGCTCAGAACAGAACAATTTGTGGAAAAATCACCCTGATTAACTCTTTAGTATTATCCCAGTTTACCTATTTGCTTATGGTCTTGCCTACGCCTAGCAAACAGTTTTTTAAATTATATGAGAAAAAAATATTCAATTTTATTTGGAACGGCAAGCCAGACAAAATTAAAAGAGCATATTTATATAATGAATATGAATTCGGAGGACAGAAATTATTAAAATATTAAAGCATTAGACCTATCACTAAAATCTTCAGTCATCCAAAAGTTATACTTAAATCCGAACTGGTTCTCAAGCAAATTAGTAAGATTGTCTCACCCACTGTTCAAGAAAGGCCTTTTTCCCTTTATTCAGATTACAACCTCTCACTTTCAGTTATTTGAAAAGGAAATAATCTCCCAAATGTCACTATTTCTAAAACAAGCCATAGAAAGTTGGTTGCAATTTCAATTTAATCCTCCAGAAACGACAGAACAAATAATGCAACAAATATTGTGGTTAAATTCAAATATACTAATTGACAAAAAACCTTTATTTTTTGACAGAATGTTTAAAAAAGGTATAATCTTCGTAAATGATATCATCGGTAGGACTGGTGGAGTTATGTCGCACATGCAGCTAACAAAAACATATGGAAATGTCTGCTCTACCCAAAATTACAACCAAATAATTGCAGCCTTACCGCAAAAGTGGAAGAGGAAAGTTGAAGGGGGAGAAAGTAAGGAACTTGTCTGTCGGCCTTGCATTAAAGAACATAATTGGTTAAGGAAAACTGTGATAAATAAAAAAGTATATCAGTTTCACTTAAGGACCAAAGGATTGACAGCCGTCCCATATAGATTGCAAAATAGTTGGGAAGAGATCTTTGACGTACCGATCCCATGGCATAGTGTTTATGAACTGACACGCAAAACGACACCGGATTCAAAAATTAGAATCTTTCAATTTAAATTATTATATAAAATTCTTGCTACCAATAGAATGTTATTTATATGGGGGATACAATCTTCCCAGCTCTGCAGATTTTGCTGTGAAGAGATAGAATCATTAGATCATTTGTTTTGGTTCTGTCCATTTGTAGCTTGTTTTTGGACACAGGTCCAGGAATGGCTAAAGGATTGCAATATTTACCTGGAACTAACCTTGTAGATAGCATTACTGGGTGATCTGAAAAGTCATAGTCAATCAATCAATAATATAATAATACTTTTAGCAAAAATGTTTATTTTTAATTCACAATCTGTAGAAGCAATGAGAATAGAAAGGTTCAGAACTTTTGTAAAACATCACAGTACGGTTGAAATATATATGGCAAATAGAAATCCTATATGGATGGTGTTAAGAGATAGATGGGAGGTATTGAATAGAGTTGAAGGATGGGACTAATAACAAATAACAACAAATAATAACAAAGATAGCTAATAATGTAAGCATACTGTGTCCATAATAAGTATATAGGTTGTATGTTGGGAGCTTTTGGGAAAGAGCACAGTTAGAAAGTTAGAAAGATATGGCATTTAGAAGCAAACCGGATGGACATCATGAAATTGATCGGAGAGGTTGAGAGTAGAAGAAGTTCAGGAGCAAAAAAATAAATAAATATATATATATATATATATATAGAATTATTGTAAAATTAACTCTGTCCATAAGGTGTAGATAGTAAGTATAGACCGGAAGTAGAGGCCTGGGCGTTGTTGTTCACTAATTTACTCCAAGTAGGGAAAGGATGGTGGGGTTGAAAAGTAATAAAGGGGAATATATATATATAAAAAAAAAAAAAACATGGGGGATTGGAAGTGATGCAGACAATTACATTGATAGAAGATACAATCTATCTGCAATATTAAGCTGATCCATTCCCCTCGAAGAAAAAAAATAAATAATAAAAAATAAAAAATAATTTTGCCTCAGAACAGGGCAGCACGGCTGGCCCTTGGATGTACACAGAGAGCTAACATCAATGATATGCATGTCAATCTCTCCTGGCTCAAAGTGGAGGAGAGATTGACTTCATCACTACTTGTATTTGTTAGAGGTATTGACATGTTGAATGCACTGAGCTGTCTGAACTACTGGCACACAGCTCAGACACCCATGCATACCCCACAAGACATGCCACTAGAGGTCTCTTCACAGTCCCTAAGTCCAGAACAGACTATGGGAGGCGCACAGTACTACATAGAGCCATGACTACATGGAACTCTATTCCACATCAAGTAACTGATGCAAGTAGTAAAATTAGATTTAAAAAACAGATACAAATACACCTTATGGAACAGTGGGGACTGTGAAGCAACACAAACATAGACACACACACGATAACATACGCACAATACACACACGTACACATGGATTTTGTGTTGTCATATGTGGTAGTAGAGTAGGGGCCTGAGGGCACACACTTAATATGTTGTGAAATCTGTTGTGAATGTATTGTAATGTTTTTTAATTGTATAACTGCCTTAATTTTGCTGGACCCCAGGAAGAGTAGTTGCTGCCTTGGCAGCTAATGGGGATCCATAATAAATACAAATATATACAGTGAGGGAAAAAAGTATTTGATCCCCTGCTTATTTTGTAAGTTTGCCCACTGACAAAGAAATGATCAGTCTATAATTTTTATGGTAGGTTTATTTGAACAGTGAGAGACAGAATAACAACAAAATAATCCAGAAAAACACATGTCAAAAATGTTAAATTTATTTGCATTTTAATGAGGGAAATAAGTATTTGACCCCCTCTCAATCAGAAAGATTTCTGGCTCCCAGGTGTCTTTTATACAGGTAACAAACTGAGATTAGGAGCACTCCCTTTAAGAGTGTGCTCCTAATCTCAGCTCGTTACCTGTATAAAAGACACCTGTCCACAGAAGCAATCAATCAATCAGATTCCAAACTCTCCACCATGGCCAAGACCAAAGAGCTCTCCAAGGATGTCAGGGACAAGATTGTAGACCTACACAAGGCTGGAATGGGCTACAAGACCATCGCCAAGCAGCTTGGTGAGAACGTGACAACAGTTGGTGCGATTATTCGCAACTGGAAGAAACACAAAAGACCTGTCAATCTCCCTCGGCCAGGGGCTCCATGCAAGATCTCACCTCGTGGAGTTGCACTGTTCAAATAAACCTACCATTCAAATTATAGACTGATAATTTATTTGTCAGTGGGCAAACGTACAAAATCAGCAGGGGATAAAATACTTTTTCCCCCTGGATATTGAAAATACGCGACTATCAGTTTTCCATATCATTGCCCACCCCGACCATGTGTCATTTGTTTTGAGTACCTCTGAGTTTGCTGATGGTCTCGGTCTGGTCGTCGATGACCTTGACTTTGATCCTCAGGGCGTCGTTGTCTCGCTCGTTCTGTTTCCTCTGACTCTCCAGTTCAGTGCCGCCTCCAGATGACCCCAGTCCTGGGACAGAGACGCTCCTGCATGTGTTTTGGGGGGTGGGGGTGGAGGTGAAGGGTCAGCCATAGGGGAAAACACACAAGACAATGTTGATTTCAGTATTTATTGATCTGGTGGAGTGTCGAAACAGCAACTAGATGGCAGTAAAGCATCACACGTTAGGCAACACTTGACCGATGACAGAGAACAACCATATCATGTTTTTGTTGTGATCCTTTTCCAGGTTCATCCATTAAAATCACACATTATACATCATTCAGATTATAAATAGCTTTAAAATATATGCGACTACCGCAGCCCCAATACAGTTAAATGAATAGATTGGACTGTCTTCTAAAAAGGAAAAAAGGGTTAGCAACTCCAAAAAAGTAAACTGCATCCAGTTAGCATACATTTTAGATTTAAACCACTGTATACCATATAAATATAATTACCAATAATGGTAACTAGTCAAAAGTAATTCTATTTTTAAGGTGTTCGCATACCTTGTTGAGCCAGCTCCTGTCCCCAGATCTTCCTCTCAGCTTTAAGGCCGTCTATCACAGAGTCCTGGGCAGTGAGCTGCGAAAGCAGAAGGACTTGTCCTACTTCACCAGCACCAGCTGCAGACAACGGTCCTCCTCTGCCCCCGCCTCCAGAGACAGCACGTGGCCCTGATGGGTCAGACGCAGTCCCAAATCATCCCCTAACCCCTACTTAATTTTCCCTACCCCCGTACACTTCCCTAGCCCCTTATGTTAGCCCCTAACACACAGACTACCTTATAGGCACTTCCCCTAGCCTTAAATTCCAGGTACTGTAGATCAGAAAATATTTGATAGTGTAGTGTATTAAGATTATGACTTTGATAAGGTTTTAAGTGGAACCTGAGAGGATGTTTATTTAGAAGAAAGGGAGCCGTTTTTAGGGTGACGCCCCATAGAAGACAGGGGATTGGACAGTAGAGGGAGCCACCCATATTTTGGGGAATATTACTGGATGGAGACAAAGAAGAGCAGAGCGGCCATTGCAATTTGGGAAACACTGCTCTCCGGGTGATCATGACATCTGTAAACTTATGCTGAAATCTTGTGATATTAATAAAACTTATGATCAAAGTTCAGTATAAGCGGACTCCTTTGTTTAACAGCATCATTAGCAACATTGACTCGACACTACAATAGCTATAAGCAAGATGCTAAAGAGCCCCAGGTGTGGTGTAGTATGTTGTACCTTGAGCTCAGTGACGGCCTCTCACTTGATGCGGTTCTTCTGCTCCTTGACCATGGCGGTGAGCCCCTGCACCAGACCCCCCGCCTGTCTCTCTCTCTCTGCTGGGTCTAAGACAGGGCCATCTTCAACTCAGACAGCTCTGCACTCAGCCGTTCACAGCACTGCTCCACCTGCATGGGGACAAAACCAGGCACTTGATTCCTTCAGTTTCTATCAACACGTACCATATTAACTCACAGAGTCATCCGTCCGTTCAGCCTTGGTATCAACCATTGTCTTTATATACTGTACTCATGAAAGTAATCTACTGTACACTCCCTGTTTGTCTCAATCTGACCAGTAATCAATTTTCTTCATGATCCCTTAGAAGGTCAGAGGTTAAAGTTAGAAAATTGAGGTAACGATGTAGGGGACCGGACACCTGATGAAGATTGTGAACATTGTCATATTAAACACACAATAACTACACTAAAGACACTTAAAACACAATTACTATTTATTAAATAAACTGCTGAGGCCCTCTGTTCAGACCTCGATGGTGAGAGCAGCCACGATGGTGCGTGCCGTGCCGTTAAAACCTCAGCGAAGCGAGCAGCCTCGACGGTGCTTGCCGTGCGGAACTTTTCCTCCAGGGCAGTGTACTGCTGTGTTGCCTGGGCCAGCCTGTCCTCCATCTCAGCCCTGCACTGGGCATGTCTCTGCTCCATGCCAGCCACCTCCCTGATCTCTGCCCCGCCCGGCACCAGCCTGGTCCCCAGCTCCTTCCTGTGGAACGTGTCGACACGTTACTGGCTGGCTGACTGACTGACTGTATGGCTTGCTAGCTGACTGACTGAGATTGGGGTCATGTTCAGTAGGGAGAAAACTTTTTGAAAATCAAAGTACTAGCCAATAAGAACACAGATTTTATTTTTCCGTGTAACATTTGTATATGGTGTGCCTTACTGAAAACAACCCACATCTGACGTTGCAGTTCAACCATATTGGCACCAAGCCGCTGCTATAAAAAAGGATGCTGTAGTCTACCTGTGTACTTGTTTCCTGGAGGCCAGCAGTTGGTGGAGCTGCTGTAGCTTGTCTTTATGCTGTGAAGCGAGGCTCTCTGGATCTCCAGCTCTCTCATCAGGGCCGACGCCTTGTTCTCCAGCTCCTCTTCATCTGAAAGGTCAAACCCTACTCTCTCACCTATGACCACCATACAGTCCAGGTAACACTATTATGTTTCAGCACAAGGGTAGGAGGCTTGCCTGACCACGTGACAGTTCTTTGTCCCAATGTAAGTGCTGCCTAGGGAAACTCTACTAATGTACAGTGGGGGAAAAAAGAATTTAGTCAGCCACCAATTGTGCAAGTTCTCCCACTTAAAAAGATGTGAGACGCCTGTAATTTTCATCATAGGTACACGTCAACTATGAAAGACAAAATGAGAAAAATAAATCCAGAAAATCACATTGTAGGATTTTTAATTAATTTATTTGCAAATTATGGTGGAAAATAAGTATTTGGTCAATAACAAAAGTTTCTCAATACTTTGTTATATACCCTTTGTTGGCAATGACACAGGTCAAAACGTCTGTAAGTCTTCACAAGGTTTTCACACACTGTTGCTGGTATTTTGGCCCATTCCTCCATGCAGATCTCCTCTAGAGCAGTGATGTTTTGGGGCTGTCGCTGGGCAACACGGACTTTCAACTCCCTCCAAAGATTTTCTATGGGGTTGAGATCTGGAGACTGGCTAGGCGACTCCAGGACCTTGAAATGCTTCTTACGAAGCCACTCCTTCGTTGCCCGGGCGGTGTGTTTGGGATCATTGTCATGCTGATAGACCCAGCCACGTTTCATCTTCAATGCCCTTGCTGATGGAGGGAGGTTTTCACTCAAAATCTCACGATACATGGCCCCATTCATTCTTTCCTTTACACGGATCAGTGGTCCTGGTCCCTTTGTAGAAAAACAGCCCCAAAGCATGATGTTTCCACCCCCATGCTTCACAGTAGGTATGGTGTTCTTTGGATGCAACTCAGCATTCTTTGTCCTCCAAACACGACGAGTTGAGTTTTTACCAAAAAGTTCTATTTTGGTTTCATCTGACCATATGGACATTCTCCCAATCCTCTTCTGAATCATCCAAATGCACTCTAGCAAACTTCAGACAGGCCTGGACATGTACTGGCTTTAGCAGGGGGACACGTCTGGCACTGCAGAATTTGAGTCCCTGGCGGCGTAGTGTGTTACTGATGGTAGGCTTTGTTACTTTGGTCCCAGCTCTCTGCAGGTCATTCACTAGGTCCCCCCGTGTGGTTCTGGGATTTTTGCTCACTGTTCTTGTGATCATTTTGACCCCACGGGGTGAGATCTTGCGTGGAGCCCCAGATCGAGGGAGATTATCAGTGGTCTTGTATGTCTTCCATTTCCTAATAATTGCTCCCACAGTTGATTTCTTCAAACCAAGCTGCTTACCTATTGCAGATTCAGTCTTCCCAGCCTGGTGCAGGTCTACAATTTTGTTTCTGGTGTCCTTTGACAGCTCTTTGGTCTTGGCCATAGTGGAGTTTGGAGTGTGACTGTTTGAAGTTGTGGACAGGTGTATTTTATACTGATAACAAGTTCAAACAGGTGCCATTAATACAGGTAACAAGTGGAGGACAGAGGAGCCTCTTAAAGAAGAAGTTACAGGTCTGTGAGAGCCAGAAATCTTGCTTGTTTGTAGGTGACCAAATACTTATTTTCCACCATAATTTGCAAGTAAATTCATTACAAATCCTACAATGTGATTTTCTGGATTTTCTTTCCTCAATTTGTCTGTCATAGTTGACGTGTACCTATGTTGAAAATTACAGGCCTCTCATCTTTTTAAGTGGGAGAACTTGCACAATTGGTGGCTGACTAAATACTTTTTTCCCCCACTGTATATCCAGGACGTATCAATAGTTATGAAGCAGCAGCATCCATCTACCTCCTCAGCCTGCTGGCAGGCCCTCAGTGCTTCACTACAGGACATGCTGTCCCTCTTGGGCCTCCGCACCTCAGGCCTCACAGAGATGGTGGAGCTGCTGGAGACCTCTCCTGCAGGAGTCTAGCGACCAAGTTAGGAGCTTAATCAGTGAAGCAGGTGGACAAACCATATCCAATACAACTCTGTAGTATGCTACAACAATATTCTACACTACTCTGTAGTAAGCTACAACAATATTCTACACTACTCTGCAGGTGATGAAGCCGGATGTGGAGGTCCTGGGCTGGCATGGTTACACGTGGTCTGTGGTTGAGGCCGTTTGGACATACTGACAAATTCATACTGTTGCGTTTTATATTTTTGTGAAGTGTAATTTTGTTAGGGTTTTATGTCTTCAGGAGATTAGATTTTCTATTTACTTTATTTAATCTGATCAGTGGAACAATTCTCATTTTAACAATGGGCTAAAATATTTTGGTTCAGTGTAGTTACATTTATCGCGATATGACATTCTGTCTAGCTCTAGCTCCTACACATCTCATATGCATCGTTATCGAGTATTGTAGTGTGCTACACATTTACATTACATTTGAGTCATTTAGCAGACGCTCTTATCCAGAGCGACTTACAGTTAGTGAGTGCATACATTTTTTATTTTTTATACTGGCCCCCCGTGGGAAACGAACCCACAACCCTGGCGTTGCAAGCGCCATGCTCTACCAACTGAGCTACACAGGGGACAATAAAAGGTCACTTTAAAATGTGCAGTTTTGTCAGGCAACACAATGCCACAGATGTCTCAAGTTGAGGGAGCGTGCAATTGGCATGCTGACTGCAGGAATGTCCACCAGAGCTGTTGCCAGAGAATGTAATGTTCATTTCTCTATCATAATCTGCCTCCCAACATCGTTTTAGAGGATTTGGCCGTATGTCCAACTGGCCTCACAACTGCAGACCACTTGTATTCACCACCTGAGAAAGTGGGAACTCAAAACACTTAGCTAGATTGCTAACTCTAAATATGATATTGTTGCTAGATAGCCATGTAGACTCCGGGATCTTAAGCACAACAAATTAGTAACATATTGCACGAATTGGATTCGAAATGAATGACATAGTACACAATTGGATGACGTAGTATACAAAAAAACGGGGACCACTTTTGGCTCATGAGCACCACTTTCAAAACGACTGGCTAAAATTATACAAAAGTTTGAGAGTGCATCTTTACATCTATCAGTAAATGTAGGCTGATGTCCAACAAAAATGTTCAGGCGCTAGGCCTAGGCTACTTGATGTAGGCAAATGGCGCGCTTCGCTCGGTGGGCGCATCAAAACCATTCTAGTAACTACAGCCTACTCCGGTTGTAAAGTGGTGCCATGACCTCAATATTAAGAGGTGAGAAATACATGATATACTCACAGAAAGCTACGACTCGCCTCTAAGTAGAACAACAGTAGTTGCTTTGAAAACAATATTTTCCCCGCAATAGCATTTTGAGCAACGGTCAAATGCTTGTGCTTCTCAGAATGCATCTCTACCTACTCCGCGCGCACAGCGGGGAGAGCGAGTGAGAGTCAGTAGCCAACAGCGAAACCGGGACAGGCAGATACTTTCATAGTAGGAATCAACATAATGCATAGGCCAGGGCTCTCCAACCCTGTGCTTGGAGACCTACCGTCTAGTAGGTTTTAGCTGCAACCCTAATCTAGCGCACCTGATTCTAATAATTAGCTGGATGATACATTTAATCAGGTTAGTTACAACCGAGTTTGGATCGAAAACCTACAGGAGGGTAGCTCTCCGGGAAGAGGGTTGGCGAGCCCTGTCATAGGCTATTACTGTTGACCAAATAATAGTCTTAGAACTATCTACAGGAATGCTGTGTAGCAAAATCACAGACGTAAACAAAATGCTTCGGTAAAAGGAAGGCAATGTCGGTAATTTGTTTTAAAGGACTGGAGCACCATCTCCCTGTAACCTGCATCAGGGAACACAGGAGTCATTACATTTGAATATGCCAAATAGATGCCCAAAATGACCTATCTTTGTGCTAAATGTTCAAAAAAGACAACAGTAAATAATCGACATTTTAGTTTTTCATGGGCAGACTTTTGCAGGCATTTTCACTAAGAATGGAGGTTTAGTATGGCTACCCAGGAATTGTGTGGTGCTTTGGGGCTCAGTTGGTATAGCATGGCGCTTGCAACGCAAGGGTCGTGGGTTCCATTTCCGCTGGGGCCACCCACACGAAAAGTGTATGCATTCAGAACTGTAAGTCGCTTTGGATAAAAGGGTTGGCTAAATGGCATATATAAATAGCACTGCAACATCACTCCCTTTTCATCACCACTCACTTGGTAAACTGCAGACTGGAATGCCTGCCCATCCACGCTTAAAGGCTCTGCATGGTAAATCAGCATTTATTGCCGATGCGGCCTCCGCAGAAGTCAGAGAAAACACTTCGCAGAGCAGCGCAGAGCTGTTGTCAAGGAAGAGAGTTTGTGTATATACAGGACCTCCCGTCATCACCTACCGTCAACCAATCATGTCAATGCGGAGCTATACGGAGCCCTCCACAATGTTACAATATATGAGAGGCGCACTGCGATGCGGTACATTGCTCAATTTGGCCTCTGCATGCCTCCAGAGACTCCGCAGTTGCGTCACACCCGCCATACGGCGCCTCTGACCACATTTTCGAAACAAGCATAAATTGGCTTTTAGGGTGACATCTCTCAGACTCTGCAGTTCCAGCATGCACTGCAGCAGCCGGTTGACTCCGCCCGGTGAAGGTACAGCAAGTCTGAGGAGATGGACGGAAGTGTTACAACCATTTAGTATTTAACATTTTTAGTCATTTAGCAGACGCTCTTATCCAGAGCGACTTACAGTTTAGTGAGTGCATACATTTTCATACTGTATCACCCTTACTGCTGCTCTTTAATTATTTGTAACTTTTTTTTTGGTATTCTTTCTTAAAACTGCATTGTTGGTTAAGGGCTTGTAAGGAAGCATTTCACCTATTGTATTCACGATGCTCGCTCCCAATGATTTTGAATTCTGGTTGAATGTAATTGAATTGTTTATAATGAGAAAACGTAGAAAATGCTTTTGACTTTAATTGGATTTAATTTAATTGCATTCGGAAAGTATTCAGACCCATTCCCTTTTTCCACATTGTTACGTTACAGCCTTATTCCAAAATTGATTAAATACAAATATTTCCTCAAATCAACACACAATACCCCATAATGAGAAATCGAAAACAGTTTTTTAGAAATGTTTGCAAATGTATTAAAAAGAAAAAAACATACCTTATTTACATAAGTATTCAGACCCTTTACTTTGAGACTCGAAACTGAGCTCAGATGCATCCTGTTTCCATTGATCATCCTTGATGTTTCTACAACTTGATTGGAGTCCACCTGTGGTAGTTTCAATTGATTCAACATGATTTGGAAGGCACACACCTGTCTATATAAAAGGTCCCACAGTTGAGAGTGCATTTCAGAGCAAAAACCAAGGCATGAGGTCGAAGGAATTGTCCGTAGAGCTCCGAGACAGGATTATGTCGAGGCACAGATCTGGAGAAGGGTACCAAAACATTTCTGCAGCATTGAAGGTCCCCAAGAACACAGTGACCTCAATCATTCTTAAATGGAAGAAGTTTGGAACCACCAATACTTTTCCTTGAGCTGGCTGCCCAGCCAAACTGAGCAATCTGGGGAGAAGGGCCTTGGTCAGGGAGGTGACCAAGAACCCGATGGTCACTCTGACAGAGCTCCAGAGTTCCTCTGTGGAGATGGGAGAACCTTCCAGAAGGACAACCATCTCTGCAGCACTCCACCAATCAGGCCTTTATGGTAGAGCGGACAGACAGAGCCACTCCTCAGTAAAAGGCACATGACGGCTGCTTGGAGTTTGCCAAAAGGCACCTGAAGGACTCTCAGACCATGAGAAACAAGATTCTCTGGTCTGATGAAAGCAAGATTGAACTCTTTGGCCTGAATGCCAAGTGTCATATCTGGAGGAAACCTGACACCATCCCTACGGTGAAGCATGGTGGTGGCAGCATCATGCCGTTAGTATATTTTTCAGTGGCGGAGACTAGTCAGAATCGAGGGAAAGATGAACGGAGCAAAGTAGAGAGATCCTTGATGAAAACCTGCTCCAAATACAGGTGTGCCAAGCTTGTAGCGTCATACCCAAGACTCGAGGCTGTAATCACTGCCAAAGGTGCTTCAACAAAGTACTGTGTAAACGGTCTGAATACTTATATAAACGTACATTTGCAAAAACTTCTAAAAACCTGTTTTTGCTTTGTCATCTTTGTTACTTCTCCTCAGCTATGGACTTTAAAGGGACAGTTCACTCCAAAATCTGTTTGTTGATGAGGGGGGAAAAAAACTATTTACAGTTTTTCTCAGTCGCTTTGGTGCATTTCTTAGATCAAAAGTGCAATTCTTGATACTACTTGTACAAATTCCAAATCATCTAGTCACTTGTGCACATCATTAAAGCAATTTCTTATTCCTTTGAACAAATTGCAATTGCTTTTGTACATATTGCAATTGATAATGTACAAGTGTCAGCTTTTTTCCACATTTTCAATTGCTCATGTCATGTTGATCAAAATATAGTAGATGGTTCTCTGTTGAATAGTCTTACCCCTCAAAACATCTAGGCATTAGTTCCTTGCATAAGCCATTACATGCAAAATTGTTGAACTATTTGTCATAAACTGTCAAGCATAGTTTTACACATTTCTATTAGACCTTTTGTACAAAAACGTAAATTGCTGAATCGTGCAGGTGAAATTAACCCTCACTCATGAAGGAATGTAAAGTGTTAGTTCAACCAACAATCAACCAGTTGTCTAAATTGCTCAAAGGTGCATCTCATGAAGAATCAATTGGCAAGCATATATAGACAGACCACAACACAGAGTTGCAATTTTCCAATAATGGATGGACCAGGAAACGAACAGGGTCAACAGCCAAGAGGAGGAAGAAGAGGAGCAAGGATGCGTGGTGGAAGGCAAAACAGAGGAAGAGGCAGAAGAGGACATAGGCGCATATCTGATGACATAAGGGCCACTATTGTAGACCATGTTGTCAATCATGGCCTTACAATGGCTGAGGCGGGTCGAAGGGTGCAGCCGAATATTGGGAGATCAACCGTGTCCTCAATAGTACAAACGTTTCGAAGAGAGAACAGGTATGTCCACCAATGTACAGTGCACTGTTACTGTATATAAGCAGTATACTGTATACTTCCTACAATGCTTCATATTACAGTAGTCCACTTGTATTTCACAGCATACAGAAATATACTCTATACAGATACATACTGCACCTTACATGCACCCACCTGTATGTTTTACAGTAAAATGTGTGTTCGCATAGTTTTTGTCTATGTGAAAGTGTGCGATGCATCACTGCATTTTTCCACACATAGGACTGCAAGATTACCTCAAACCGGTGGCAGAGGACGCCTTTTCACACCTCAACAGGAGGAGGCTATTTGCACCATGGTCCGAGCAAACAATGCCATGAGACTCAGGGAAATACAAAGGACCATTATAGAAGACAACGATGTCTTTGAAAACATCCATACGGTTAGCATCTCAACCATCGACAGGGTGCTGCATAGAAACCAGATGAGTATGAAACAGCTGTACCGTGTACCATTCCAAAGGAATGAGGACAGAGTTAAGGAGCTACGGTACCAGTATGTACAGGTAAAACATATATCTATGTAACTACTTTACAGCAACATTTTATAGTGTTACATAGTACAGTAAGCATAAACTGCACACATTTCCATTGCTGTGGAAGGAACATGCAATATATGTACATTTTATGTCACTCTTCCTTACCAAAACAAATTCAACTGTGTGTTCTGGGATATAGCGTATAATGGAGTTGGAATCAAGTGAACCCTCTCACAACTTTGTATACGTGGATGAGGCTGGCTTCAACCTGACCAAATGCAGAAGGCGGGGTCGGAATATCATCGGTCACAGAGCTACTGTGGATTTGCCAGGCCAACGGGGAGGAAATATCACCATGTGTGCTGCTATTTCGGAGCATGGTGTCCTAACCCATATCCCCCTTTTAGGGCCATACAACACCCAGCATCTACTCAACTTTTTAGAGACTCTCTACAGGGCTCTCATCCCTGAGGATGAGAGGGGTCTGTTTAGAGAGGATTTGCCAAAGTATGTGGTCATTTGTGATAATGTGAGTTTCCATCGATCAAACATCATAAGGCAATGGTTTGTGACCCACCCGAGGATGCTCATAGAATTCCTCCCACCTTATTCACCATTCCTTAACCCAATTGAGGAGTTCTTTTCAGCATGGAGGTGGAAGGTGTACGATCGTCAGCCACACACACAGATGACCCTGCTGGCTGCAATGGATGCAGCATGTGAGGACACCACAGTAGACGCCTGCAGAGGATGGATAAGGCATTCCAAAAGATTCTTTCCACGTTGCATTGGAAGGGAAAATATCCGGTGTGATGTGGATGAGAATATGTGGGCTGACAGACAGGAACGTCTGGATGTGTAGAGACAGCACTAGAACAGTGCTGTGGGCAAAGTTGTGCCTTAGGGGTGGTTTCCTGTGTTTCTTTCTAATTTAGTTTTTTTTCCTTTGTGCCCCTTGGGTTGTCCAGTCTCTTTCAATCAATAACCCACATACAGTAATATGTAAATAGTACTGTTGAAATTGATATATGCCATAGAAGTGCAGCCTTGTGCATTTTCAATACAGTAACTGTCATCCAAACTGTAGCCTAAGTTTACATCAGGTAATACAAGTACACAGTTCCATTGACAACATGCCTAAACATTTTGACAACCTTGTTCGTGAACAATGACTCAATGACTTATCATTCTGATGACACTGACATGATCATTGGCATGAATATTTACTTTTGAGAGATGTACTAAGGATTTTTAGTGACTGACTAGCTTTAGAAACATATCTATTGTATATTGCAGTTTGTACAAATTGTTCTGAGAAATGCACTTATTATTTTGCACATGTTAGGGATGATGTGAAAAATGCACCAAAGCGACTGAGAAAAACTGTAATCCATTTTAGAATAAGGCTGTAACGTAACAAGTCAAGGGGTCTGAATACATTCCGAATGCACTGTATATTGTACTAAAACTATATGATCACTTGTTTAAATTTGTATTGTGGATTATATATTTCCGTAAAGAAAATTGTATTATGAGAATTGTGCATATAATTGTATATTGAAAAGAGGGAGGGAGGGAGCAGACAAAGCTATTTCAATGCTGGAGATCCTGTCATGTTTGCAGTGACCCTTGTGCATGTTGCCTGTTTTCCAGGAATAAATAAGATCCAAAAGCAAGTCCTGTCTCTGTCATCCATTTGACCAGCCAATCAGCGTTACAATTAGTTGACCTACGATGCAGAGAAACTGGTATTCACTGCAATTCATTACACTAATTTAAAGCAATAGTCGTGTGTGGTCACCTAGATTATAATTTCAGCACCGTTTTGATTGGGACAGCTCCATCGCGCTGGTTTGAGACAAGCCTGGGGGACTCTAGATAAATCAATCAATGTCAGATTTTTGTTTTCGTTGAATCTCCGTTTGGAGATGTACATATTACCTCGACTAACCGGTACCCCCTTTATTTAGCCTCGGCTATTGTCATTTTTACTGCTGCTCTTTAATTATTTGTTACTTTTATTTCTTATTATTTTATATTATATTTGTGAGATTTTTTTGGTATTCTTTCTTAAAACTGCATTGTTGGTTAAGGGCTTGTAAGTAAGCATTTAACTGGTCCCAGTTAAAATACAGTACCTTGATATTTAAACAATTTCTTAATCTCTGATCTGCTATCTTTATAATCAACTCGATTTTTGCCAAAAACGACATTTTGTCATTCGTTGTAGGTTATCCAGCAAGTTTAGCAACTTTGGTCATTTTACTTTTTTGTTTGGCTGCCTTTACAAAGTTTGTATGAATGACAACGCTATAGCCTTCACCGTGTGTCCTGAGTGCGCTGTGTCGAAATAGCCTATGCCTGCTGCTGAAATGATTAACGTTGTGTTTGGCAATTCACAACAATGTCACTGGCGATCAAAGTTACTGTATCATGACTAAATATAAGTTGGGTAAAGATGCAGGGCTGACTGGCATTACCAAAAATAGAGAATGTGGGGTTATGCGCTCTAATACTTGCCCTGAAAGATGTTCACTCATTTCGCCATGCAAAGTAAAACAAGATGCAAATAGCATTGTTAGCAATATCATTTAATCCTTCCCCCTCAGCATAGAATCACTGTTGTACATACGTTTTTTTTTATTTTCTCAATTTCACATGTTCATTTCTCTCTTCAAACTTCCAGTTTGACCTACCTCTCATATCCAAAAAAAGAAAAGCAGATTGTATTATACAAAAATGCAAACCAATTTTCACACAGTGAATTCTCTTACAAAGTCATAAAATGGCGTAATAATGGCTACATCCACATTGGAGGAAGATAATTCTAAACATTCCTTCATGGAGTATAACATACATATAAAAACGTTTTTTTCTTGCTGAAATCAAACCTGTACCTTAAATTAAGAGATATATTACAAGGAAGTAATCATATAAAAGCGCCATTGCGTTTCTCGCCAAATGTTAGGAATTAAAATGTGAGCCCAAAACAGCAGTCACACTTCTGTGATTCCGGGGTTAGTTGGCTGTGTGAATGCGGGGTAGGGCAGCAGTTTCACTCAGAAACAAATGAAAGCAGGCGACTGACATGAACATCATTGCTATTCCCAGAAACCACATCTTTGTTACTTTTCCTCAGCTATGGACTTTAAAGGGACAGTTCACTCCAAAATCAGTTTGTTGCATTTTAGACCTCAAGTGGTTTAATGTTGATTTGAGTCTACATCCCACCCCATCTAGTGTTTATCCAGCTATAGCCTAAACCCAAAATGAGTAGAAATGATAGGCACTGAATTATACTGTGTCCATCTTTGCTATTGAGGTTTACAGCTGGACCTACACAACAGATGGCATGGGATGTGGCCTCATGTTTGCCTAAACATCTAACTGTTACCATGGTTACTCAATGGATTTTCAGCCTGACCAAGTCTCCCTAAAAAAAAGACACAATAGTCCATAAGCCAGAATGTTGAAGAAAATTATATTTACACTTACTTTCCTGGTTGTACATGCTGTTGGTCCTTTTGGCGGTAGGTGGTGGAGATACGGTATCCACAGGAAAGTGTTGTTTACCCGACTTTTTGCGGCGCTGGTAGGTTCTGTCTTGTATTTTCAATCTCTTGACGCTTTGCATGTGATGCACAATATGTAAACAATAGCCTAATGTAACCGAATGTAGTCGACCAAACATGCAATCAGCTGGAAGTGTTTGCTGTTTGGTCCATGTCTGTTCGGTTAGGCTCGGCCATATTGTGCAAGTGTTTGTAACATGCGAATTGCATCAGTATTGGAAAATAAAACCAGAAATTCAAACCGATATACAGACCAGCGTACTGAAGGTCGGGTTGATAAAAAAATATCCACAGGGAAGTGTAATCAGATTATGTCCAACATAGGGACAAAATCAGCAGACAACAGGTAAAGTAAGTTGAATTGGAGTTTGTTCAACATTCTGACTTGTAATGGGACTGTTTGGGCATGCAGAGCCTTCATGTGAGAGACAAGTGTTTAAGCATTTCACTCTTGGATTCTAAAAGAGGCTAGCCTCATGTCAACATTAGACCACTGCTGAGATCTGAAAACATTGGACAAATTTGGAGTGAACTCGCTCTTTAAGGGTCATGGCTGGAGGGACCTTGAGAGTATTTCCCAAAGCAGAATTAACAAGTGTGGGCAAGTTAATTTTCATGACTATTCTGAAACAATGACAACCTGTGTGTGGATGATAGAGATGCTGCGTTTGATCGTTTCCATGGACAACATGATGCTTCGCCATGTGAGGCGATACGTAGATCACCGTAAGACTTGGAAGTCAGTGATTTTTCACTCAACAACAACAACAGGAACAAAAACAACTACAAACCCAACTAGTCAATTACATTTTGCCAGCAGAAACAAGTTTTGTTCTAAATATGACAAAAGGTGACTGACAGTTGAAGAGAAAACGAGCATGCCAATTCAAATCGCTTTTAATTTGGTTAGTGTGCTTCCAAATTATCTTACTGTTGGCCAAGGAGTATTCCTTGAGAATATGAAGCAAGCCTTTGACTAAATTAAAGGCTTACCAGTCTTACCTCTTTAAAAAAAAAAACATCAAATGTCTAATATTTCCACACCGTCACCCAGCACAGCACACTTCACTTTGAAAAAAGCCAGTGTACCTTTTCTACAATACAACCTAGTACACTCACACAAAAACGTTTCTCTCTTTCAATTCTCATCATTAAATGAGTCTTCTTTCGGAAGCATATTTCAATATAGAACTTATTTGTTTGAACACAAAAATATTAAGTGAATACACATCAATGCGCACAGAAGTCCTTCAACTGGGAAAGGATAAAGTCTGTGTTGGCAACCAGTGGACAGGGAAAAATAACATTTTGCTGATTCTAAGTAGAGATCATTTAATATAAATGCTGAGTGAGTAGAATAAGAGGTGGCACGTTAATAGTGCTTAGTATATTAATGTATGTATACATACTCATATGTATAAGTGAGTTGTGTACCTAAATAATAAAATGTATTAAAGAGCAGCCTGAGAGGCTTGAAGTGTGGTTGGAAAAAACTATAAACCCTAACCCTTGCCCCCAACTTTAACTTCCATTGACCCCCACCCACCTTAAACCCAGACAAAAAAGCAGAACTTTTTTTTTGCCAAACCCAAATTATGAACCCAATCGTCACCTCTATCCTTATCATTAACCGTTTGAGCACTAGGACCCACCTTTTTGCATTTCAGCGCAGCCCTTTTCAATGGCCAATCATGAGGATTGTTTACAAAAAGGCAGAGCACTCCTTAACGAGCACCAACAATTTCCATGACAGGGAAAGCAACAATAATGTAAAGATAATGATGATAATAATAATAATACTATAAAACTATGTTGTGAAAAATATCATGAAAGGTTACACTAAAAGTATTCAAATCGAAGGTTGGGAAGACTTTGGGCAGAGGCTTTTTGAGGGGAAAGACTTTCTGGCTGCTTGCTTTAAACCTTGCAAGGTTGTGGCCCAAGATTCTGGGCTTGAATCCACTAATACACTGAATATGTGTCTCGATCCTGACTTGTTCTAAAATGAACTAATAGTATGTGGTTAAAAACAAAAGGAGTAGAAGGAATTTTTAAAAGTAACCTTGTAAGATGACTCAATTATTTTTAAAGAGACACTTCTCTACTCTTTCATTGTTGATTTTGACTCACAAACCATTGAAATGACTGTTTGGCAGACTACAGACACCTTTTACATGTATTAAGACCAAGAGGGGGGGGGGGGGGGGAAATAGCATATTAATCAATCTCACTTCCCCTCCAATAACGGACCAGTGTTCAGGTAGTCCACAGCCCCTTAATCGCGATTTACGCGAGCGAGAGAAAGAAAACAAAGGAACACAACTTCATAGAAGTTAAGGAGAACCAATGACAAGATAATCCCAACGGGGTGGGCTTTTGATGACCAGATGAGGAGTTCTGAGGAAGACAAAATCAACTGTCACCCCATATGATTCCATTCACACTGGGAGGGGATTCAATCCATCTTGCACCAAGGAAAATGTTGTTCCTACAATGTGAAAACGCATGTTTTCTAGAACTCTGTTAACTTAACACATTAATTACACTCCCTGGAGAGTGCATATCTGCACTGCAAGTTTGATTGAATTCCAGCCCATCAGAGTACAAACGAGACATTACCGTGGCCAGCAGCAAGTCACAACACATCCCATGAGAAGCACATAGTAGGTTCCCTTACAGAAAACATGAGGAAAGCTCATTATCAAAAAGATTCACTTTGCAATCTTTAAAACAGAATGCTTTGGTTAATAATATACTGCTTTTCAAGTATGAAACAGACATGATGTATTCATAAAATGCACTAATAAAATCATACTTCTCATGGCAGCATGTGGTCTCATGTGGCTTGAAGCGGCCTGGTCTCGTTTGGTTCTGAAGGTTGGCGGAACGTTTTCACTCCCCCTTTCCCTGGCCTCCCTCACCTGGTCAACCACGTTTTACGATTCTGGGAGTGGTGTATTCCTGAACACTAGCAGTTACTACACTCATATTACTGAACCCGGACAGAACAGTTACTACACTGACTAAATGTTGATTATAATGCCTTCGTAAGCTGTCAAAGGTATCGGAAACTGTCATAACAGGTTATAATGGATTATAACAGACACTTATGTGATGCGTACGACCGCTGAAATAACTATGTCGTAAACACCAAGACTTATGACACTGTTATGTAGTACATATGAGCATAACTTGATTTAGGATTCGATTCTAAGTTGGTTAAGAAATTGAAAGTTTACATTTGACAGCCTTTAAACAGTCTTTGGGGTGTAAAGGTCCCTGCAAGCTGTTTACCCTTAGTATGCCTCGTAATGGGCACAAAGATACTCTACCGATCGATCCACAATGGGTCTTGGTATGTGATGTCTATGTAGTGGAGATAGCCTTCTTTTAACAAATCATCATCATCATCATCATCATCATCACCACCATTATTGTCATCATCAACTGCTTATTGTTTTTACATTACTTTGAGAGGCTTGTTTTATAGTCCCAGTAAGAAAACAGAAAACGAAACAAAGAAATAAATGATATCAAATGCCCTGGTTTCCAGGCGATGAAAGTAAAAAAAGAAAGCTCATTCACAGAACAAAAAGAAAGAAAAACTCCTATCACAGCAGATACTGCTCATCTTCTGTCTGTATGCTTTACACCACAGTGTCTGAGTAAGTGGCGTGTGGTCTAGGAGCAGGAATGGACCACACCGTTCTTCTGCAGCTCTGAGTCCCCGGGCCCCGGCTCAGAACACAGGCTGAGCGAAGACGCCTTATTGGTCAGTGACAACATGGCTCCGCCCACACCGCCGTCCTGACCTAGACCGCTGGAGCCATTAGACACCTCACTACACATACCGCGGGAGAGCGAGAAAGGGGAGAGAGCGGGAGAGCGAGAAAGGAGAGAGAGCGGGAGAGGGGAGAGCGAGAAAGGGGAGAGAGCGGGAGAGCGAGAAAGGGGAGAGAGCGGGAGAGCGAGAAAGGGGAGAGAGCGAGAAAGGGGAGAGAGCGGGAGAGCGAGAAAGGGGAGAGAGCGGGAGAGCGAGAAAGGGGAGAGAGCGAGAAAGGGGAGAGAGCGAGAAAAGGGAGAGAGCGAGAAAGGGGAGAGAGCGGGAGAGCGGGAAAGGGGAGAGAGCGGGAGAGCGAGAAAGGAGAGCGAGAAAGGGGAGAGAGCGGGAGAGCGAGAAAGGGGAGAGAGCGGGAGAGCGGAGAAAGGGGAGAGAGCGGGAGAGCGAGAAAGGGGAGAGAGCGGGAGAGCGAGAAAGCGGGAGAGCGAGAAAGGGGAGAGAGCGGGAGAGCGAGAAAGGGGAGAGAGCGGGAGAGCGAGAAAGGGGAGAGAGCGAGAAAGGGGAGAGAGCGGGAGAGCGAGAAAGGGGAGAGAGCAGGAGAGCGAGAAAGGGGAGAGAGCGGGAGAGAGCGAGAAAGGGGAGAGAGCGAGAAAGGGGAGAGAGCGGGAGAGCGAGAAAGGGGAGAGAGCGGGAGAGCGAGAAAGGGGAGAGAGCGGGAGAGCGAGAAAGGGGAGAGAGCGGAAGCGAGAAAGGGGAGAAGCGGGAGAGCGAGAAAGGGGAGAGAGCGAGAAAGGGGAGAGAGCGAGAAAGGGGAGAGAGCGGGAGAGCGAGAAAGAGAAAGCATGAAAGGGAGGAACAGACAGAGAGAGAGAGACAGAGTGACAGACAGAGAGCGTGACAGACAGAGGGAGCGTGACAGACAGAGTTACGATCATAAGATCATTCGATGTACAAAGACTGATGACGTGCTGTCCTGCTGAGGTGTGTGTGTGTGTCCACTCACCCGAGGGCCAGGGCAATCTCCTCTAGCTGGGCCTTGTGGTCCTGCTGGCCATTCTCTGCAGCCTTCATCTTGTACTGGACCTCATGAGCCACCTGGCTGTCCTGTAGAGACCACATCAATACACTGTCAGCTCACAGTGGCGCGTCTGTCTATGTGTCTCTCTGTGCCTGCCCGTCTGTCTATACCCGTCTGTGACTGTCCGTCTGTGCATATTCGTCCGTCTGTCTGTGCCATCCCTTGTGTCTGTGCCTGTCCGCCTGTCCGTGTGTCCGCCTGCCCGTCAGTCCTCCGCCCGCCCGCCGTCCGTGTCAGTCCGCCCATGTCCGTCCGCCCGCCCGCCCGCCAGTCCGCCCGCCCGCCCGTCCGCCTGTCCGTCCGCCCACCCATACGGGCGGGGGGGGCGGACAGACGGACATGAACTGTTGGACGGACGGACACGGGCGGGCGGACAGACATGAACGGGCGGGCGGACAGACTGACATCAACGGGCGGGCGGACGGACACGGGCGGGCAGGCGGACAGACACGGACAGGCGGCCCTGCCTGTCCGTCTGTCTGTCCGCGTCCGTCCGCTTGCCTGTCCGCATCCGTCCGCCTGCCTGTCAGCCTGCCTGTCCGTGTCCGCCCGCCTGCCTGTCCGTGTCCGTCCACCTGCCTGTCCGTGTCCGTCCACCTGCCTGTCCGTGTCCGTCCACCTGCCTGTCCGTGTCCGTCCGCCTGCCCGTCCGTCCGCCTGTCCGTGTCCGTCCGCCTGCCTGTCCGTCTCCGTCCGCCTGTCCGTCCGCCTGCCTGTCCGTGTCTGTCCGCCCGCCTGCCTGTCCGTGTCTGTCCGCCCGCCTGCCTGTCCGTGTCTGTCCGCCCGCCTGCCTGTCCGTGTCTGTCCGCCCGCCTGCCTGTCCGTGTCTGTCCGCCCGCCCGCCTGCCTGTCCGTGTCTGTCCGCCCGCCCGCCTGCCTGTCCGTGTCTGTCCGTGTCTGTCCGCCCGCCCGCCTGCCTGTCCGTGTCTGTCCCTGCCTGTCCGCCTGCCTGTCCGCCTGCCTGTCTGTGTCTGTCCGCCTGCCTGTCCATGTCTGTCCGCCTGCCTGTCCGTGTCTGTCTGTCCGCCTGCCTGTCTGTCCGCCTGCCTGTCCGTGTCTGTCCGCCTAGCTGTCCGTGTCTGTCCGCCTGCCTGTCCGTGTCTAACATGAACACAAACCACACTATAGGGAAAAACACCACACAACAAGTTGCACATAACACTAGCAATACCTCAATAGGGCAGTGGTTCTCAGTACTGGTCCCGGGAACCCAAAGGTGTGCACATTTTTGTTTTTGTCCTAGCACTACACACCAGATTCAAATCATCAAAGCCAGATGATGAGTTGATGATTTGAATTAGGTGTGTAGTGCTAGGGCAAAAACAAAAATGTGCACCCCTTTGGGTCCCCAGGACCAGGATTGACAACCACTGCTATAGGGCGTTGTGAGCAGAGCAGAAGAATTCCCATTGTAAAAGGCAGACAAACTACTATTCTCCCCTCCATCTCTCCCTCACCATGGCCATCTGGCGGGTCCTCTTGCCGATCTCCCTCTCCACCTGATGCAGCTCCATGCTGAGCTGTTCGCTGGACACCAAGGCAGCGCTGCTGGAACCCCCCGCTGGACCGGGCCACTTCCCCTGCTGGCCCTGGTTCTGACCTGGCTGGGAGGGCTGGGCCACCAGGGCACTGACCTCCCTCTGAGGAGGACGGGGAGGAGGGTGTTCAGGGTTAATAAGGTCAATCTTTCCCTACTAATAACCTCTTCTCTACCATTACTTACAAGCTTGGTTTCCCCCACACCCAAAAAGTTTTTGCCTTAATTGATTTCAACGCAAAAGGTTGTGTTTGTCCGATCGCTGTGTGTGTGTGGATACCCACCTCCATGCCGTGGATCTGGGTCTGTTGGGTGATCTGCTGGTTGACCTGTTGGAGCTCAATCTTCAGATGCTCTCTGTCCTGAGCTGGCATAGACAGCCTGAGAGAGGGGAAACGAGAACCAAGCCATCAGAATTACTGATACATAACGCATTAATAGATGGATGGATGGAGTGATGAGAGGAGTGTTTGATCGTACCTTTCACTGAAGTGTCCCTGAGAGGAGGAGCCAGTCTGGTGGGAGGGGTAGGAGGCGCCGCCCCAGCCTCCGTGGTTCCCATAGGAGTACTCCGCTGTGGGCGGGACAACCACGCGTTAACCACCAATTGTATGTCTTAGAAACACGGTTCGACTCAGTCATATTCATGAAGCAACAAACGGAAGAAAACAGACAAACCGGGAGGGACAACATGGATATGTCTATAATGCTCATTTTCAAAAAACGTTTTAAGTATTCCGTTGTGAGCCCTAATGAGCTCAACCCAGATGACAGAGATTGAGTAAGTTGATTGGTCTCCCTACCGGCCATGGGCTTGGGTCCCTGGGTAGAGGCAGAGGCCATGGCCTGCACGGGGCCTGTTGTCTGGTAGCCTGTCTTGGAGGTGCGTGAGATGGCCCCGAAGCGCGACACGGTGGGCTGGGGGCCGAAGGGGATGATGGGGTCGTCGTCTTTCACCTCTGCCCCCCGCCTGGCCTGGGCCTCCATGGAAGGCTCCCCCCGCAGACCTTTACAATCCACATTCTAGAGGGGGAGAGAGGGACAATTTAGAATTGTCATTTAGCAGGCCTCTAATTTAGTCAGTAAGAGTAGCAGGTCCTCAATTTATCAGGCCCTCAATTTAACAGTCATTCTACAGAAAAATAAAGGTGTGGATGGGTGGGTGAGATGGTGGGGGGTCATTTATCAAATGTAGTCATTTAGCAGACACTAATTCAGAGTGAAATACAATAATTACAAAAAGGAGAAGGGGAGAAAGAGGCAGTTGGAGAGAAAAGTGAAGATAAAAGCAATTAACAATTTAGCCAAAAAAGGGACGGTAGAAGGGACAAATGAAAGCTAAAATCCTCCTAATGAAGCATATTTTCAACATTGTTCCTGTGACAACTGAACCAGTAATACTTTCAGAAACAGTGTCTTACTAAGACGCACCGCCACTATTCCAGCTGTCACTCACCATCATCTCCATGGCGCCGGGCGCCATGATTTCTTTGGGCTTGGCGTCCTTGGTGACAATGTAGGAGCCGATGGTGTCACAGGACCAGGGAGAATACTGGCCCCCGTAGTCCGGCTCCCTGCACTTCCCAAAGGCTTTGGAGCTCTCCTCCCCATACTATGGAGGCAGACACAGGTGTGTGTTAGCAAGCTACTTGTGCTAACAGTACTGCATAGCAATGCTAACTTGGAAACACAATTTGAACATGCTAAAACACAGGCATTTTAGAAAAGTGTCATACAGGGCAGAATAATATAAAATTTACATTTTTGTGTGAAACAGGGTCATCGCTAGATAAATGAGTGTCATAGCTAAAACAGCATCAAAAGCCCTGTTTTGTAAATGTTATAAAAGGATTATAGTTTCACTTCCCAATTAAATAATGTCATGACATTAATCCTCCCAGTTGGGAGCTTTGAAGGCCTACACATGTGAGCAGTAACAGTTTGTCTCTGGACTGTACCACGCAGAGCTCTGACTCTAATGCAGGGGTTCTCAAACTTTTTGGGGCCTTTTGTGATAGCAAATTTATCAGGGACCTCTCATAATCAGAACACAACTCGAGTGCAATAAAAATAGTCTACAATACGTTTTACTATGACGTCTGCAGTGCATGGCTGGACGAACCAAGTCTTGGGCCTGGGGATTGAACATTTAAAAAGGCCCGCCTCTTGGCATCAGAGAGAAAATGTTGCAGTTTTCAAGATAATTTCCAGCAATTCTACAAAATGTTGGGGGGCAGAGATTTTTTGTTGTTGCAGCTTTAAAACGAATATCCTGCAATTCTACACATTTTGCCATGAGTCAGAGAGAAAACTTTGCCGTTTTAAAGCTTAAATTACAGTGCATTTATGTAAAATAGTTTTGGGGAATAGTTTTCAGTGGAAAAGTGATAATTGGTGGAGTACTGTGGATACCAATATCCCTGTGAGCCTCCCATGCCCATGTTGCCAAGGGTTAAGAACATAAATTGCAGATTAATAATATTACATTGTATTGTATTACACACTTTAAAAACGTATTCCACAGATTCCTTTGCCAAAAGTCATTTAATATGTTGTTAGTGATATAAAATAAATAAATACAATAATTAAATAAAAAATGGTTAAAAATAATTAATTTGTGGAATTTCTTTCCTTCTTAATGCGTTGGAACCAATCAGTTGTGTTGTGACAAGGTAGGGGTGGTACACAGAAGATAGTCCTATTTGGTAAAAGACCAAGTCCATATTATGGCAAGAACAGCTCAAATAAGCAAAGAGAAACAACAGTCCATCATTACTTTAAGACATGAAGGTCAGTCAATCCGGAAAATGTCAAGAACTTTTAAAGTTTCTTCAAGCGCAGTCGCAAAAACCATCAAGCGCTATTGATGAAACTGGCTCTCATAAGGACACCCACAGGAAAGGAAGACCTAGAGTTACCTCTGCTGCAGAGGATAAGTTCATTAGAGTTAGCAGCCTCAGAAATAAGCCCAAATAAATGTTTTACATAGTTCAAGTAACAGAAACACAAGCAATGGACATTAGACCGGTGGAAATCTGTCCAAATTTGCGATTTTTGGTTCCAACTGCCGTGTCTTTGTGAGACGCAGAGTAGGTGAACGGATGATCTCCGCATGCGTGATTCCCACCATGAAGCAGGTGGTGTGATGGTGCTTTGCTGGTGACACTGTCAGTGATTTATTTAGAATTCAAGGCACACTTAACCAGCATGGCTACCACAGCATTCTGCAGCGATATGCCATTCCATCTGGTTTGCGCTTAGTGGGACTATCATTTATTTTTCAACAAGACAATGACCCAAAACACACCTCCAGGCTGTGTAAAGGCTATTTAACCAAGAAGGAGAGTGATGGAGTGCTGAATCAGATGACCTGGTCTCCACAATCCCCCAACCTCAACCCAATTGAGATGGTTTGGGATGAGTTGGACCGCAGAGTGAAGGAAAGCAGCTAACAAGTGCTCAGCATATGTGGGAACTCCTTCAAGACTGTTGGAAAAGCATTCCTCATGAAGCTGGTTGAGAGAATGCCAAGAGTGTGCAAAGCTGTCATCAAGGCAAAGGGTGGCTACTTTGAAGAATCTCAAAAATAAAATATATTTTGATTTGTTTAACACTTTTTTGGTTACTACATGATTCCATGTGTGTTATTTCATAGTTTTGATTATGCTACAATGTAGAAAATAGTCAAAATAAAGAAAAACCCTTGAATTCGTAGGTGTCCAAACTTTTGACTGGTACTGTATGTATGTATGTATGTATGTATGTATGTATGTATGTATGTATGTATGTATGTATGTATGTATGTATGTATGTATGTATGTATGTATGTATGTATGTATGTATGTATGTATGTATGTATGTATATATATATATATATATATATATATATATATATATATATATATATATATACACACATACACACACACACACACACACACAGTGGGGAAAAAAAGTATTCAGTCAGCCACCAATTGTGCAAGTTCTCCCACTTAAAAAGATGAGAGAGGCCTGTAATTTTCATCATAGGTACACGTCAACTATGATAGACAAAATGAGGAAAAAATTTCTGGTAAATTACATTGTAGGATTTTTAATGAATTTATTTGAAAATTATGGTGGAAAATAAGTATTTGGTCAATAACAAAAGTTTCTCAATACTTTGTTATATACCCTTTGTTGGCAATGACACAGGTCAAACGTTTTCTGTAAGTCTTCACAAGGTTTTCACACACTGTTGCTGGTATTTTGGCCCATTCCTCCATGCAGATCTCCTCTAGAGCAGTGATGTTTTGGGGCTGTCGCTGGGCAACACAGACTTTCAACTCCCTCCAAAGATTTTCTATGGGGTTGAGATCTGGAGACTGGCTAGGCCACTCCAGGACCTTGAAATGCTTCTTACGAAGCCACTCCTTCGTTGCCCGGGCGGTGTGTTTGGGATCATTGTCATGCTGAAAGACCCAGCCACGTTTCATCTTCAATGCCCTTGCTGATGGAAGGAGGTTTTCACTCAAAATCTCACGATACATGGCCCCATTCATTCTTTCCTTTACACGGATCAGTCGTCCTGGTCCCTTTGCAGAAAAACAGCCCCAAAGCATGATGTTTCCACCCCCATGCTTCACAGTAGGTATGGTGTTCTTTGGATGCAACTCAGCATTCTTTGTCCTCCAAACACGACGAGTTGAGTTTTTACCAAAAAGTTCTATTTTGGTTTCATCTGACCATATGACATTCTCCCAATCCTCTTCTGGATCATCCAAATGCACTCTAGCAAACTTCAGACGTGCCTGGACATGTATTGGCTTAAGCAGGGGGACACGTCTGGCACTGCAGGATTTGAGTCCCTGGCGGCGTAGTGTGTTACTGATGGTAGGCTTTGTTACTTTGGTCCCAGCTCTCTGCAGGTCATTCACTAGGTCCCCCCGTGTGGTTCTGGGATTTTTGCTCACCGTTCTTGTGATCATTTTGACCCCACGGGGTGAGATCTTGCGTGGAGCCCCAGGTCGAGGGAGATTATCAGTGGTCTTGTATGTCTTCCATTTCCTAATAATTGCTCCCACAGTTGATTTCTTCAAACCAAGCTGCTTACCTATTGCAGATTCAGTCTTCCCAGCCTGGTGCAGGTCTACAATTTTGTTTCTGGTGTCCTTTGACAGCTCTTTGGTCTTGGCCATAGTGGAGTTTGGAGTGTGACTGTTTGAGGTTGTGGACAGGTGTCTTTTATACTGATAACAAGTTCAAACAGGTGCCATTAATACAGGTAACGAGTGGAGGACAGAGGAGCCCCTTAAAGAAGAAGTTACAGGTCTGTGAGAGCCAGATATCTTGCTTGTTTGTAGGTGACCAAATACTTATTTTCCACCATAATTTGCAAATAAATTCATTAAAAATCCTACAATGTGATTTTCTGGAAATGTTTTCCTCAATTTGTCTGTCATAGTTGACGTGTACCTATGATGAAAATTACAGGCCTCTCTCATCTTTTTAAGTGGGAGAACTTGCACAATTGGTGGCTGACTAAATACTTTTTTTCCCCACTGTATATATATATATATATATATATATATATATATATATATATATATATATATATATATATATATATATATATATATATATATATATATATATATACACACACCCCTGCAGTACCGCCGCGGACCTTTGGGTTACGTTATGTAACCCCGGTTCTCTGAAGGAGATGAGGGAGACATCTCACTATGGGACACGCCATCTTTTGTGGGTCATTGGTTGAAGCCTTATTCAAATCATGCCCAACAGGCCAATCAGAGCTTTGTGGGTGTACGCCCCGTGTGTCTATATAACAACCTGCACTGCTCTGGTTTCCTTATTCTTCGCCTCTTCACAAGTATATTTGGTTACTAGCCCGTTAAGCAGCTTTCAGAAAACTCTCAACTTAACTGTTCCTCTCGGTGTGGGTTACCACCCCACCTTGGAGCATTGGTTGGCTTATTTTGTATTTTCAGGAATTCTGCTAACTGCAGCCTCACTTTACAGAGTGAAGTTACCTCAGTTTGTTAGCAGGCTTTTTGTTGTCGGCTAGCTACAGTACTCCTGTTGCCTGGCCTACACACAATTGATGTTGTTAGCTAGCTAGCACCACTGCTTTAGCATCCCGCTAATAGCAGGTTCCCACACATTTTTGCTACTTTTACCCAGGGTCTCTAGCTCTCCGTCGGTTCCCACCGTTCGGAGTTAGCTAGCTGAACTTTAAAGTGTCTTGGCTAGTTAGTGGGCTAACGGCACCACTGGTGTTTTAGCTAGCAACCTCTGGGCTAAACCCCCATTCGGTTTGTTTGGCTAGCACAAGCAGTGATGTTTCTTCAGTGTGTTACCCACCATTGAAGCACCATACCTTTTACATTCTCCTGTAAAAGATAACCCAGCCGAGCGTTCTACCTCGAGTTACTTGGTTTACACACCATCCCAGGGCCGCAGGTAGCTTAGTGGGTAAGAGCGTTGTGCCAGTAACCGAAAGGTTGCTGGTTCTAATCCCAGAGCCGACTAGGTGAAAAATCTGTCGATGTGCCCTTGAGCAAGGCACTTAACCCTAATTGCTCCTGTAAGTCGCTCTGGATAAGAGCATCTGCTAAATGACTAAAAATGTAAATGCAAATCCCATAGTGAGATGTTGAACCTAGTCGACTGAAAGAGAACCCACTTTGAGAATCCCTGCTTTAATGTGTTGACCCTGAGAGACCTAAGTTGTGTGTGGGTCTCACCTCTGGGGGGTAGTCACTAGGGAAGGTGTGGGTGTGGGTGAGGGTGGGGGAGGCAGCGAACGGCGGGGGGGAGATGACCTTCCTCTCCTCCAGCTGGGCCATCAGCTCCTTGCGGCGGCGGTGCAGGTAGTCCAGGCTGGGCTGGGAGGAGCGTCCGTACTGCTCCTAGATAACACACCACGGGACACAGTTTATCAGACAACTACTCAGTATTTCCATAATGACACTAAACTATCTGCATCTTAATGATCATTAAAATGATGAAAGATATCAGACTTCTGGTCAACTAACGAGATAAATGTAAATCTCAAGGAAGCTGCAGCTCACAAGACAACAACTGCATAGTAGTCAGTCAGTGTATATGGTCACCAACCTCCGTCCTGGAGTGTTACAGGGTGTGCTAGCTTTTTTCTCAACCCAGTGCTAACACACCCTGATTCAACTGATCAACTGCTCATCATGACCTTAGACAGGTTGAATAAGGTTTTACTGTTGGCCTGAAACAAACGTCTATATACCTTGTAAGTTTCCTGGACCAGGGTTGCTGACCACGGATGTACACACAGAGAAACATGACAGACTGTGGAGAAACCAAACTCACCCTGACGTAGGACCTCATGGATTGGGGCTGGGCCCCAGTTGGGTAGTACCCCTCTGGGGGGTACCTCTCCCTGGCCGCCTGCTCCTGGTGGTAGGGGTGGTTAGGGGGCACATCCAGGGGCGCGGGGCTCATCCGGACCATGTCGTCCCTCTGCGAGGAGTATGGCTGGGGTGGAGGCGGGGGACCAGGGTAAGGGTCGTGGCGGCCCCGGGTGTCATAGTGGGGAGGGTAGGAGAAGGGGGGGGCGGAGTGGGGAGCCGGGTAAGGGCGCTCGGGGGGGCCATAGCCGGGATAGGGGTCCTGGTAGGCTGGTCCAGCGGGCTCGCCGGGGGGAGGGGGGTTTCGGATGTAGCGCTGAGTGGAGTACTGGGGGGGCTGCTGGTAGGGATATCCTGGAGGACAGGGGGGGACACGTTGACATGTTGATTTACTTTACACGTTTTTGTTTCATATTGGTTCAAAACACATCATCGGTTCAAAACACATTTTCTATTGATAGAGCTTAAATTAGTTGCTATGAAAAAATATATTACAGCTGCGGAAAAAATTAAGAGACCACTGCAAAATGATCAGTTTCTCTGGTTTTACTATTTATAGATATGTGTTTGGGTAAAAATAACATTTTTGTTTTATTCTATAAAACTACTGACAACATTTCTCCCAAATTCCAAAGAAAAATATATTGTCATTTAAAGCATTTATTTGCAGAAAATGACAACTGGTCAAAATAACAAAAAAGATGCAGTGTTGTCAGACCTCGAATAATGCAAAGAAAATAAGCTCATGTTCATTTTTAAACACAATACTAATGTTTTAACTTAGGAAGAGTTCAGAAATCAATATTTGGTGGAATAACCCTGATTTTCAATCACAGCTTTCATGCGTCTTGGCATGCTCTCCACCAGTCTTTCACATTGATGTTGGGTGACTTTATGCCACTCCTGGCGCAAAAATTCAAGCAGCTTGGCTTTGTTTGATGGCTTGTGACCATCCATCTTCCTCTTGATCACATTCCAGAAGTTTTCAATGGGGTTCAGGTCTGGAGATTGGGCTGGCCATGACAGGGTCTTGATCAGGTGGTCCTCCATCCACACCTTGATTGACCTGGCTGTGTGGCATGGTGCATTGTCCTGCTGGAAAAACCAATCCTCAGAGTTGGGGAACAATGTCAGAGCAAAAGGAAGTACGTTTTCTTCCAGGACAACCTTGTACATGGCTTGATTCATGCGTCCTTCACAAAGACAAATCTGCCCGATTACAGCCTTGCTGAAGCACCCCCAGATCATCACCGATCCACCACCAAATTTCACAGTGGGCACGAGACACTGTGGCTTGTAGGCCTCTCCAGGTCTCCATCGAACCATTAGACGACCAGGTGTTGGGCAAAGCTGAAAATTGGACTCATCAGACAAGATGACCTTAACACAGTCCTCTACGGTCCAATCCTTATGGTATTTTGCAAACCTCAGCCTGGCTCTTCTTTGCTTCTCATTGATGAAGGGCTTTTTTCTAGCTTTGCACAACTTCAGCCCTGCCCCTAGGAGCCTGTTTCGAACTCGCCGTGCACTTCACACCAGCTGCCGTTTGTCATTCTTTTTGAAGGTCACTTGTTGTCATCCTACGGTTGTTGAATGACATTCGAATGAGTTGGCGGTCATCCCGGTCAGTAGAGAATAGTTTTCGCCCTCTGCCGGTCTGTAGCTTTGTTGTCCCCAATGTCTGCTGCTTGAACTTGTTCTTATGAACCGCCGTCATTTAAATGTTAATGATGGAAGCAACCTGACGCTCACTGTATCCCCCTGCCAGTAAAGCCAGAACTGAACCCTTCTTTTCCTCACTCAAAACTTTCCTTTTCAACTCTTTTGGCATGGTCAATAGTTATTTTTGGATTAATATTACTTTTGAGGTACTATTATCACTGTTTTTGCCATCCAGCTGGTCCTATTGCAAGAGGATAGTGATGACCACAGCAGTGGTTTTTATACTTTTCCTCGTTAAATTAGATTTGGTTCAGGTGATCACCTAATCAGTACCTAATTCAGTAGAATGAGGTGTGCCTGTGTTGGAATCCAACAGACACTGGAATGGAATGGCTGTCATACATGTAGAGATGCTGATTTAAGAAAAATTTGCAGTGGTCTCTTAATTTTTTCCAGAGCTGTATATATATTTTTGCTATCAAATAAAATACGCTATAGCAACCAAACAAACATTTGAACAACATAAAACGTTTCATCAACGTTCAGCCTCACCTTGAGGGTACTGCGAAGGCTCGTACTGGGAGGAAGAGGGCGGTTGGCGTGAGTCGGAGTAGTACATGTCAGGCAGCTGCTGCTGGTACATCTGAGGCCCCCGGGGCATCACACCACCGGGTATCTTTTTGGGCATGTGGTCGCCTGGCCCCCTGGAGTGGCCCATGGCATGGGGGGGCTGAGGGAATCCTTGTTTGGGCCCCAAATCCAGACTGAGGGAAGAAAAACAGAGTTCTGAATACAATGCTTCATAAATCAAGTTTTTGCATTAATGTAAAAAAAAGTGCCAGATTTTATAGCTAAAACACGAATTGTATTCTGTTACAAAATAGATTAACCAAAGAGATATAATAATGTCAGCTGAAAGCGGCGGTGTTTCCCACTTACGAGTCAGGGGGCAATCCCGGGGCGCTGTTGCTCCCGCCATCCATCTTGGGCTTGCGTAACAGGTCGTAGGTCACAGGGTCGGTGCCGCGGGCGATGAGCTGGGGCATGGGGTGTCCGGCCGAGCCGTTGGTGAGGGGCGAGGGTTTCCGGGTCACCCCCATGTCCAGAGGGAGACAGTCATCCGACAGCAGGCCAGATGAGCCAGGGAGGCGAGCCGCCAAACGCTTGTTCATCTTACGGTACCTACGAACATAAAATACAGTTATCCTTGTGGCCTGGGTGGCTTGCTATAAACACAAAATATGGATTTCACATCACTGGCAGGGGCACAGCCATGGGTGGGCCTGGGAGGGCATAGGCCCACCCACTTGGGACTGAGCCAGGTCCACCCACTGGGGAGCCAGGCCCAGCTAATCAGAATGAGTTTTTCCCCACAAAAGGGCTTTATTACAGACAGAAATACTCCTCAGCATCCCCCCTCCTCAGACGACCCCGCAGGTAAAGAAGCCGGATGTGGAGGTCCTGGGTTGGCATGGTTACACGTGATCTTGTTGGATGTACTGCCAAATTCTCTAAAACAACGTTGGAGGCAGCTTATGGTAGAGAAATTAACATTCAATTCTCTGGCAACAGCTCTGTTGGACATTCCTGCAGTCAGCATGCCAATTGCACGCGCCCTCAAAACTTGAAACATCTGTGGCATTATGTTGTGTAACAAAACTGCACATTTTAGAGTGGCCTTTTATTGTCCCCAGCACAAGGAGCACCAGCGTAACGATCATGCCGTTTAAATCAGCTTCTTGATATGCCACACCTGTCAGGTGATGGATTATGTTTGCAAAGGAGAAATGCTCACTAACCGGGATGTAAATAAATGTGTGCAAAAAATTGTAGATAAATAATATTTCTTTTATTTCAGCTCATGAAACATGGGACCAACATTTTACATGATGCGTTTATATTTTTGTCCATTATATATAATACACTGCTCAAAAAAATTAAGGGAACACTTAAACAACACAATGTAACTCCAAGTCAATCACACTTCTGTGAAATCAAACTGTCCACTTTGGAAGCAACACTGATTGACAATAAATGTCACATGCTGTTGTGCAAATGGAATAGACAACAGGTGGAAATTATAGCCAATTAGCAAGACACCCCCAATAAAGGACTGGTTTTGCAGGTGGTGACCACAGACCACTTCTCAGTTCCTATGCTTCCTGGCTGATGTTTTGGTCACTTTTGAATGCTGGCGGTGCTTTCACTCTAGTGGTAGCATGAGACGGAGTCTACAACCCACACAAGTGGCTCAGGTAGTGCAGCTCATCCAGGATGGCACATCAATGCGAGCTGTGGCAAGAAGGTTTGCTGTGTCTGTCAGCGTAGTGTCCAGAGCATGGAGGCACTACCAGGAGACAGGCCAGTACATCAGGAGACGTGGAGGAGGCCGTAGGAGGGCAACAACCCAGCAGCAGGACTGCTACCTCCGCCTTTGTGCAAGGAGGAGCACTGCCAGAGCCCTGCAAAATGACCTCCAGCAGGCCACAAATGTGCATGTGTCTGCTCAAACGGTCAGAAACAGACTCCATGAGGGTGGTATGAGGGCCCGACGTCCACAGGTGGGGGTTGTGCTCACAGCCCAACACCGTGCAGGACGTTTGGCATTTGCCAGAGAACACCAAGATTGGCAAATTCGCCGCTGGCGCCCTGTGCTCTTCACAGATGAAAGCAGGTTCACACTGAGCACATGTGACAGACGTGACAGAGTCTGGAGACGCCGTGGAGAACGTTCTGCTGCCTGCAACATCCTCCAGCATGACCGGTTTGGCGGTGGGTCAGTCATGGTGTGGGGTGGCATTTCTTTGGGGGGCCGCACAGCCCTCCATGTGCTCGCCAGAGGTAGCCTGACTGCCATTAGGTACCGAGATGAAATCCTCAGACCCCTTGTGAGACCATATGCTGGTGCGGTTGGCCCTGGGTTCCTCCTAATGCTAGACCTCATGTGGCTGGAGTGTGTCAGCAGTTCCTGCAAGAGGAAGGCATTGATGCTATGGACCGCCCATTCCCCAGACCTGAATCCAATTGAGCACATCTGGGACATCATGTCTCACTCCATCCACCAACGCCACGTTGCACCACAGACTGTCCAGGAGTTGGCAGATGCTTTAGTCCAGGTCTGGGAGGAGATCCCTCAGGAGACCATCCGCCACCTCATCAGGAGCATGCCCAGGCGTTGTAGGGAGGTCATACAGGCACGTGGAGGACACACACACTACTGAGCCTCATTTTGACTTGATTTAAGGACATTACATCAAAGTTGGATCAGCCTGTAGTGTGGTTTCCACTTTAATTTTGAGGGTGACTCCAAATCCAGACCTCCATGGGTTGATACATTTGATTTTCATTGATAATATTTGTGTGATTTTGTTGTCAGCACATTCAACTATGTAAAGAAAAAAGTATTTAATAACATTATTTCATTCATTCAGATCTAGGATGTGTTATTTTAGTGTTCCCTTTATTTTTTTGAGCAGTGTATATATTTCTGAAGGTGGAGAGGGGACTTACTTCTCCAGCTCTTCCTGAGAGTGGGCAAAGGTACAGCTGGCTCCACGGGGACAGCCCCCCTTCTGCTTCATGTCCCGACACATGTACGTCTTGTATTTACTGTGCTGGGGGGGCTAGAAAAACAGAAAAAACATGTCAATAGAATAATGGTGCCCTTTTTTAAGTCCAAATATCTGGAATTGTATTCATAAATTGTAACAAAGTAGGAGTGCTGATCCAGGATCAGTTTAGCCTTTTATTTAGATCATAATTAATAAGGTTACATTGACAGGACGACGCAGTATGAATACGGGCCATGATCAGTATCAATGAGCCAGAGTGAGAGACGGACCTGTTGTGGGTCGGCTCCCTTCTTGCTGTGGTTCTGGATGAAGTCCACCAGGCCGTGGACCACAGTCTTCACCGCCACCAGACCCTTCTCCAGCTGCTCCCACGTGGGAGGGGGGGCGTCTAGAGAGCCAGAGGGTAGGGGAGAAACGAGTCAATACTTGGCATGAAGGAGTATAACACACAACATTATAATAGTGATGCTGATAACATGGACATCTGGGTCTGTTATGTCAATGATAACAATAACTTAACAATATAAATGATTGAATAGCCATTGCACGCAAAGTATTAAACCAAACTAGCCAAACAAATAATCTTCACGCCCTCTCTTTCATACATAGGCTACTGCTTAAAAGGGCTCTTAAAAAGGCCAAGTGCAGTCAAATACTGGATTTTCCTGTTTTATATATACAGTTGAAGTCTGAAGTTTACATACACTTAGGTTGGAGTCATTAAAACTCGTTTTTTAACCACTCCACACATTTCTTGTTAACAAACTATAGTTTTGGCAAGTCGGTTAGGACATCTACTTTGTGCATGACACAAGTAATCTTTCCAACAATTGTTTACAGACAGATTATTTCACTTATAATTCACTGTATCACAATTCCAGTGGGTCAGAAGTTTACATACACTAAGTTGACTGTGCCTTTAAACAGCTTGGAAAATTCCAGAAAATGATGTCATGGCTTTAGAAGCTTCTGATAGGCTAATTGACATCATTTGAGTCAATTGGAGGTGTACCTGTGGATGTATTTCAAGGCCTACCTTCAAACTCAGTGCCTCTTTGCTTGATATCATGGGAAAATCAAAAGAAAATCAGCCAAAACTTCAGAAATTTTTTGTAGACCTCCACAAGTCTGGTTCATCCTTGGGAGCAATTTCCAAACGCCTGAAGGTACCACGTTCATCTGTACAAACAATAGTACGCAAGTATAAACACCATGGGACCACGCAGCCGTCATACCACTCAGGAAGGAGACGTGTTCTGTCTCCTAGAGATGAACGTACTTTGGTGCGAAAAGTGCAAATCAATCCCAGAACAACAGCAAAGGACCTTGTGAAGACGCTGTAGGAAACAGGTACAAAAGTATCTATACCCACAGTAAAACGAGTCCTATATCGACAACCTGAAAGGCCGCTCAGCAAGGAAGAAGCCACTGCTTCAAAACCACCATAAAAAAGCCAGACCACGGTTTGCAAATGCACATGGGGACAAAGATAGAACTTTTTGGAGAAGTCCTCTGGTCTGATGAAACAAAAATAGAACTGTTTGGCCATAATGACCATCGTTATGTTTGGAGGAAAAAGGGGGTACTTGCAAGCCGAAGAACACCATCCCAATCGTGAAGCACGGGGGTGGCAGCATCATGCTGTGGGGGTGCTTTGCTGCAAGAGGGACTGGTGAACTTCACAAAATAGATGTTATCATGAGGAATTAAAATTATGTGGATATATTGAAGCAACATCAAGACATCAGTCAGGAAGTTAAAGCTTGGTCGCCAATGGGTCTTCCAAATGGACAATGACCCAAAGCATACTTCCAAAGTTGTGGCAAAATGGCTTAAGCACAACAAAGTCAAGGTATTGAAGTGGCCATCACAAAGCCCTGACCTCAATCCTATAGAACATGTGTGGGCAGAACTGAAAAAGCATGTGCGAGCAAGGAGGCCTACAAACCTGACTCAGATACACCAGCTCTGTCAGGAGGAACGGGCCAAAATTCACCCAACATATTGTGGGAAGCTTGTGGAAGGCTACCCGAAACGTTTGACCCAGGTTAAACAATTTAAAGGCAATACTACCAAATACTAATTGAGTGTGTGTAAACTTCTGACCCACTAGTATTATTCTGAAATTTGACATTCTTAAAATAAAGTGGTGATCCTAACTGACCTAAGACAGGGAATTTTTACTAGTATTAAATGTCAGGGATTGTGAAAAACTGAGTTTAAATGTATTTGGCTAACGCATATGTAACTTCTGACTTCAACTGTGTGTGTGTGTGTGTGTGTGTGTGTGTGTGTGTGTGTGTGTGTGTGTATATATATATATATATATAAAAACTACCAGTGATGGACACACCTTCTCATTCAAGGGTTTTTCTTTATTTTTACATTGTAGAATAATAGTGAAGACATCAAAACTATGAAACAACACGTGGAATCATGTAGTAACCCAAAAAGTGTTAAACAAATAAAAAATGTGAGATTATTCAAATAGCCACCCTTTGCCTTGATGACAGCTTTGCACACTCTTGGCATTCTCGCAACCATCTTCATGAGGTAGTCACCTGGAATGCATTTCAATTAACAGGTGTGCCTTGATAAAAGTTAACTTAATGTGTTTGAGCCAATCAGTTGTGTGGTGACGATGTAGGGGGTTATACAGAAGATAGCCCTATTTGGTAAAAGACCAAGTCCATATTATGGCAAGAACAGCTCAAATAAGCAAAGCAAAACGACAGTCCATCATTACTTTAAGACAGAAAGGGCAGTCAATATGGAACATTTCAAGAACTTTGAACGTTTCTTCAAGTGCAGTCGCAAAAACCATCAAGCGCTATGATGAAACTGTCTCTCATGAGGACCACCACAGGAATGGAAGACCCAGAGTTACCTCTGCTGCAGAGGATAAGTTCATTAGAGTTACCAGCCTCAGAAATTGCAGTCCAAATAAATGCTTCAGAGTTCAAGTCACAGACACATCTCAACATCAACTGTTCAGAGGGGACTGTGTGAATCAGGCCTTCATGGTCAATTCGCTGCAAAGAACATTCGCTCCAAATTTGGCATTTTTGGTTCCAACCGCCGTGTCTTTGTGAGACACGATGTGGGTGAAAGGATTGATCTCTGCATTTGTATTTCCCACCGTAAAGCATGGAGGAGGTGACACTCACTGATTTATTTAGAATTTAAGGCACACTTAACCAGCATGGCTACCACAATACTCTGCAGCGATACGCCATCCCATCAGGTTTGGGCTTAGTGGGACTATCATTTGTTTTTCAACAGGACAATGACCCAACACACCTCCAGGCTGTGTAAGGGCTATTTTACCAAGAAGGAGAGTGATGGAGTGCTGCATCAGATGACCTGGCCTCCACAATCACCCGACCTCAACCTAATTGTGATGGTGTGGGATGAGTCGGACAGCAGAGTGAAGGAAAACCAGCCAACAAGTGCTAAGCATATGTGGGATCTCCTTCAAGACTGTTGGAAAAGCATTCCAGGTGAAGCTGGTTGAGAGAATGCCAAGAGTGTGCAAAGCTGTCATCAAGGCAAAGGGTGGCTATTTGAAGAACCTCAAATATAAAATAGATTTTGATTTGTTGAACACTTTTTTGGTTACTACATGATTCCATGTGTTATTTCATAGTTTTGTCTTCACTATTATACTACAATGTAGAAAATAGTAGAAATAAAGAAAAACCCTGGAATGAGTAGGTGTGTCCAAACTTTTGACTGGTACTGTATGTATGTATGTATGTATGTATGTATGTATGTACAGTGGGGAGAACAAGTATTTGATACACTGCCGATTTTGCAGGTTTTCCTACTTACAAAGCATGTAGAGGTCTGTAATTTTTATCATAGGTACACTTCAACTGTGAGAGACGGAATCTAAAACAAAACTCCAGAAAATCACATTGTATGATTTTTAAGTAATTCATTTGCATTTTATTGCATGACGTAAGTATTTCATCAACTACCAACCAGTAAGAATTCCGGCTCTCACAGACCTGTTAGTTTTTCTTTAAGAAGCCCTCCTGTTCTCCACTCATTACCTGTATTAAATGCACCTGTTTGAACTCGTTACCTGTATAAAAGACACCTGTCCACACACTCAATCAAACAGACTCCAACCTCTCCACAATGGCCAAGACCAGAGAGCTGTGTAAGGACATCAGGGATAACATTGTAGACCTGCACAAGGCTGGGATGGGCTACAGGACAATAGGCAAGCAGCTTGGTGAGAAGGCAACAACTGTTGGCGCAATTATTAGAAAATAGAAGAAGTTCAAGATGACGGTCAATCACCCTCGGTCTGGGGCTCCATGCAAGATCTCACCTCGTGGGGCATCAATGATCATGAGGAAGGTGAGGGATCAGCCCAGAACTACACGGCAGGACCTGGTCAATGACCTGAAGAGAGCTGGGACCACAGTCTCAAAGAAAACCATTAGTAACACACTACGCCGTCATGGATTAAAATCCTGCAGCGCACGCAAGGTCCCCCTGCTCAAGCCAACGCATGTCCAGGCCCGTCTGAAGTTTGCCAATGACCATCTGGATGATCCAGAGGAGGAATGGGAGAAGGTCATGTGGTCTGATAAGACAGAAATAGAGCTTTTTGGTCTAAACTCCACTCGCCATGTTTGGAGGAAGAAGGATGAGTACAACCCCAAGAACACCATCCCAACCATGAAGCATGGAGGTGGAAACATCATTCTTTGGGGATGCTTTTCTGCAAAGGGGACAGGACGACTGCACCGTATTGAGGGGAGGATGGATGGGGCCATGTATCGCTAGATCTTGGCCAACAACCTCCTTCCCTCAGTAAGAGCATTGAAGATGGGTCGTGGCTGGGTCTTCCAGCATGACAACGACCCGAAACACACAGCCAGGGCAACTAAGGAGTGGCTCCGTAAGTAGCATCTCAAGGTCCTGGAGTGGCCTAGCCAGTCTCCAGACCTGAACCCAATAGAAAATCTTTGGAGGGAGCTGAAAGTCTGTATTGCCCAGCGACAGCCCCGAAACCTGAAGGATCTGGAGAAGGTCTGTATGGAGGAGTGGGCCAAAATCCCTGCTGCAGTGTGTGCAAACCTGGTCAAGACCTACAGGAAATGTATGATCTCTGTAATTGCAAACAAAGGTTTCTGTACCAAATATTAAGTTCTGCTTTTCTGATGTATCAAATACTTATGTACAATACAAATACTAGTGTACCTATGATAAAAATTACAGACTACATGCTTTGTAAGTAGGAAAACCTGCAAACTCGGCAGTGTATCAAATACTTGTTCTCCCCACTGTATAGGTCAAAATCCATGAGTGAGATTAGTCATTAGGGCCTATGAGTCATGCCTATTTATTAACTTCTCCTTGACTACATCCACGTGAGCGCAGCTAACAAACACACCCAACCTGTTCTACACTGATTGATTGATTGATTTCTGACCACTTAACTAGTGGAATGTACTGGGCTGCATTTCATTCCAGAAAGTTGGAGAAAGCTCCCTCCCCTCTGCCTATGTTTCCTGACCTTCACGGATCTGATGGGGCTGAAAAGTGGAAAGCAATAGCTCTTCCAAGTTCCTGGTACTGCTTTCATCCATCATAGTCCTATCAGTTCCATAATGGGGACAACACAAAAAGAGAGGTTGAGGGAGGTGGCAACATTTGGGAATGGAATGCAACCCCAGTATGTCGGTGGTCTGAATTCTATCTTCAGTTGTATGCATTGTTGAAGTTAGAATAAGAATATAGGTGTTGAGTATGCGTGTCTCACCGGGGCTAGGGTCGATGTTGGCCAGTAGTTCCAGGTGTGGTCGGAGGTGGTTAAGGTTGGCGGGGTCGCCTGTCCTCTGCAAGGCTATGGTCAGCTCCTGAACGCTCTGGGCAAACGACGCCGGCGTCTGCAACTGGGGAGGACACAGGATGGGAAAGGGTTAACGTAAATCCTATCAGCATCTGAGTGCCTGAACCTGGATCTTCCACCAGTTGTTTTGTGGATATGATCATTCCTGTTCTCCTTTATCCTATTAGCATTGGTTGAAATAATGTTTTCTACTGTGAAGCAAGGCTTAACCCTCTGACATCAAGAGTGCTGCTCCTTTAGTGGAAGCTTATTACAATGGCTCATGTTGTTTCATGTGTCATACAGACAGTCACTTAGACAAATACAAACTGATAAGCAGATGTTTTACGTGAGTGAATATGGTTATTTTTGTGAATATGTGTCTGAACAAGTAATGGACACACACACACACCTTGTTGACAATGAACTAAACAACGTACATGACAACTTCTTCTAGAACTAGTAACAAAGACACAAACAGACGCTGACACCTTCCCAAAAAGACACACTAACACACACACACACCTTGTTGATACTGAACCACAGGAGGTTGGTGGCACCTTAATTGTGGAGAACGGGCTCATGGTAATGACTGGAGAGGAATTAGTGGAATGGTATCAAATACAAACACATGGTTCCAGGTGTTTGATGTCATTCCATTTGCTTGTTTCAGCCATTATTATGAGCTGTCCTCCCCTCAGCAGCCTCCTGTGTAATGGACTATACGACGTACATCAGGGATCATGAACTAGATTCAGCCGCGGGCAGATTTTTTCTTGAGCGAATTGTCAGGGGGCCAGAACATAATAACAAATAATTTGTAGACTGCAAATTGACCGCAAGAATCCCAAACAGATATAATATTTGACTAAAACATAAATCATTTCCAACATTGCTTACATTTGTATACGATCAGATATATCTCTATTATGGTGGGAATACTTTGGAACAGATTCCCTTCTTTTTGCTCAGAAAACCTGGGGGGCAAAATAAAAATCATCCGTGGGATGCCAGTTGGGGAACCCTGACGTACATGACAACTTCTTCTTGGACTAGTAACACACACCTTGTCGATGATGGACTGCATGTGGGACTTGTGAGACTGGTCCCCGTAGAGCAGGGAGGACCACTGGTCAGGGGCGATGCGGAGGCCACCCTCCATGGCGATCTGGACAATCTGGGAGTCGTGTTCGCGCCGCAGTGCCTCATACGTCCTGAACTCCTCTTTCAGCTGCATCAGGGACGAGTCCTCGTCACGCTTGGTCACCTATGCAGCCAGGGAGAGGTACATTAAGGTAGCGTTTCTCTAAATGGTGGGTCAGGATCAGGTGGTTGGTTGCAGCTAGTCCGGAAAGATTTTGGGAGGTCATGGCACAAAAAATTTTGGGAACCACATGGCCTTTGTTGGGTCATGTTCATTTGGGCACACCGAAGCAAACATTTATAAACGCTGAGCAACAGAAAACAGAAATTTGCGCTTCTCATTGGGCAAGTTCAGTTAGTAGCTCATAGTTTCCGTCCGGTTTCCTGTTTCGTGCCTAGTGAACACGACCGAGGTCTGCGTTTCTGTATGAGATGCAGGTAGTCAGACCTACCTTGAAGCAGGAGGCCCTGTACAGGAGCTGCACCACGTGGCCTATGCTGGTCTTGGAAGCCTGGGGGAAGCGTGGCTCTAACCTCTGGACCACAAACAGCACCAGAACCTTCCTGGACAGGGCCGAGCCGTCCTCCAGAGCCAAGAGCACCAGCTTCAGAGCCTCCTCTTGCATGGCTGGGAGGGAGAAGGAAGCAGGTGGATTATTAGACCACAAATACACACATAAATTCAGAAGACAGTTATGCAAGTTAGACAACATTACAAACATTTACACTAGTAAATATAATTGCATAAGACAGCATTTCTCGAACCTCACCTTGTGTATCCCAAGACATTTCACAATTTTGTTGTAGACCTGAACTAGCAGTGAGTCAACTAGTCAAGGGCTTGAGGATTAGTTCACTAGTTGAATCAGGTCTGATAGCTACGGAATAGATCAAATGGAACATGGAATGGCTAGGGTTCTCTGAGGAGAGGTTTGAGAAACTCTGGTAGACAGAGCGGGTGTGTAAACTTCCTCTCATCTTACCTGGGCCCAAGAACTGGCAGCCCCTGGCCCGGACGGCGGCCCACAAATTGGACGACAATTGCTGGGGATTCTGGTGCTGCAGGATGAGCTCTGTGACTGTGCGCTCCCCCAGAGACCTAGCTGCCCTCATGGCCCGCACCCGGCCCTCCTCCTCCACCAGCTGACAGTGGACCAGGGTCACCAGTTTCCTTTGCATGGGCCGACTCAGCATGCTCTGGGCCGTGCTGCTTAGACCCACCCCTAGGGAGAGACGGAAGGAGGGAGGGGGGAGAGTGGGGCAGAGAGAGAGACACACACCATGGGGGGGTGGCATTGTCATCAGTCTGAAGTCAGAGTTGGTTCATTTTTGTGTGGTGTGTGTTTGTGTATGTTACCTCTGTTGTTGCTGAGGGGTTTGAGGTAAAGAGCCAGCTCCTCCACACAGTGCCTGGCCTCCTCATAGTGCTGTGAATCCTCTGGGCTGGTGATCAGGGCCACCGGCTGAACCTTGGGAACCTGGAGGTGGGACACAGATGGTATATTAATATAGAAATTAAATACGCATGACCTGTAATAGGATGTTTCAATGGGTTAATTTACAGTCAAATGATTGAACAAATACCTTTATTATTGGTTTATAATACAATTAGCCTACTTAATAAATCAATAGATATGTGTTGGCGCATTGAGTGTGCAGGCCCTAAATTCACTATATGCAGTGACATGGAATTAAAATGGCCATAGCACTAAAATGTACACAAATGTCACAGGCCACCCACCCAGTATGGTTGCTCAATAAAAGTGTTGCACCATGTGCATAACTTAGAAAAAGGTGGAGAATTCTGAGGCGTGGTGTGATATGATAAATTATGCAAACATTCCGGCACACCCAATACGGCCACTAGTCCACCCACCCACAGATTGCTCTGAATGGGAATAAGCTGGTCTGGGGTACGCAAGTCCAGGTAGTCCCTCCCTGTTTCAGTGCATTTTATTTTGTTTGGTGCCTAATGAACACCACCCAATTCAAATAATTGTAATTCAATAGGCACAGACATTTTGCCTGGCTAACCAGACTCCATGCTCCGGCCAAACGCCACGCACGTTCGTTTTTTCTTCACAATGAGTCTGGATCCGTGTACCTCCCTGACCCTTCACCAAATGAGATCACATTCGGGGCCGTCTGATTGGTCCAGAAAACCGATGAGTTTGGTCCAGAGCCAGAACACACGTGGGTAAAGCAGCGGTTTGAAAACGTGTCATTGGCTTTGATCCTCTGATTGGTTAAAGACAATACAAATCGCTGATTGCTTTGTTTGTACAAAGCCCCTCGTCACAACAAACGACTTCAATGATGGCAGTCTCAGACTAAATGATGTAGCAAACGACAGAGGAGCAGAATCATTTAGTGTGAGTCATCAGACTAACACTCACTGAGCAGAGAAGATTTCCTTGCCCACCTCGTATACGGGATTACCAGCAGTGCACACAAGGAGCGCCATTTCTTTCCAAACGTATTTTTAAAAAGTTTTTTTTTTTTTTTTTTTTACACACACAACTAATTTAGGCAGCAGGGATCTTGATCCAGGAGGGGACTGATTCTCTCTGTTGTAACCAAGAAGCTTGATCTTGCAAGCTAGCCACTTAGCTAGCAAGTTAGCAAACCAAATGCATAGCTGGAGCCCTGAGCTGGATATCATTTATTTGGCATATTTTAGATAGTTAATTTAACGTTATAAAGCAGTGGCATAGCACAGAATTTCCCCCTAGCCCCAAGGTATATGCGATACACCGCCCAAGCGTAATTGACACACTTGGCTGGCTACGTGTTGAAACTAATCAAATTTCATCATCACAGATTCTCACTTTTTAAAGGGGGAAAAAGCGTGTAGACAGTCAATCAATTTTTTTCAATCAATTTTATTTTATATAGCCCTTCTTACATCAGCTAATATCTCGAAGTGCTGTACAGAAACCCAGCCTAAAACCCCAAACAGCTAGTAATGCAGGTGTAGAAGCACGGTGGCTAGGAAAAACTCCCTAGAAAGGCGAAAACCTAGGAAGAAACCTAGAGAGGAACCAGGCTATGAGGGGTGGCCAGTCCTCTTCTGGCTGTGCCGGGTGAAGATTATAACAGAACCATGCCAAGATGTTCAAAAATGTTCATAAGTGACAAGCATGGTCAAATAATAATCAGGAATAAATCTCAGTTGGCTTTTCATAGCCGATCATTAAGAGTTGAAAACAGCAGGTCTGGGACAGGTAGGGGTTCCATAACCGCAGGCAGAACAGTTGAAACTGGAATAGCAGCAAGGCCAGGCGGACTGGGGACAGCAAGGAGTCACCACGGCCGGTAGTCCCGACGTTATGGTCCTAGGGCTCAGGTCTCTCAGTTGGCTTTTCATAGCCGATCATTAGAGTTGAAAACAGCAGGTCTGGGGACAGGTAGGGGTTTCGTAACCGCAGGCAGAACAGTTGAAACTGGATTAGCAGCAAGGCCAGGCGGACTGGGGACAGCAAGGGTGTCATCATGCCCGGTAGTCCTGACGTTATGTGTCCTAGGGCTCAGGTTCTCAGAGAGAAAGAGAGAACGAGAGAATTAGAGAGAGCATACTTAAATTCACACAAGGACACTGGATAAGACAGGAGAAGTACTCCAGGTATAACCAACTAACACCCAGCCCCCCGACACATAAACTACTGCAGCATAAATACTGGAGGCGAGACAGGAGCGGTCCCGGAGACACTGTGGCCCCATCCGAAGAAACCCCCGGACAGGGCCAAACAGGAGGATATAACCCCACCCACTCGTGCCAAAGCACAGCCCCCGCACCACTAGAGGGGATATCCTCAACCACAACTTACAATCCTGAGAACAAGGCCGAGTATAGCCCACAGAGGTCTCCACCACAGCAAAACCAGGGGGGGGGCAACCAACCCAGACGACGTCGACTAAAGGAGATCACGTCCAGACTTCACCCCAAAATCAAGTGGGGGCCGCACCCTTTTCCCAGGAAAACCGGCCATTGACCAAAA